CTCTGCCTTCAGACCAGAGATGGGCTCCCTAAGAAACTGTTGAATTTATCTGAACAATAAGATGCTGGACTCTATGCTTGGCATATGCTTGCAATGAAAGAATCTTGACTGAATTTGACCTGTAATACAGCAACAAGGTGGAGGAATCTACCATGAGCGGAGGGTATGGGGAGGACTTGGGGGAAATCCCAGAGCCTATGAAACTGTGTCATAAAATGAAATGTAATAATAATTTTAAAAAGACATTAATGAACATTGTTTATAACGTGAAAAAAAAAGATGACCTTCTTAGATATAGCAGTATCTATTTGGTTGTCATCACATAAGGAGAGCACCTACAATATTTCATTCTCCCAAGTAACATTTTAAGCATTTTATATGCATTCCATTCACTCCTTCCAATTGGCACATACAGTATTTTCATCTGCAAGTGAGAAAGCAAAGACTGAGGATATGCCAAAACACTACGTCAGCCAGATCCCGAGTCTACTTTCCAAACTCGCATTCTTATGAACAAAACAGTTTAACCCTTTCACTTCACATTTCTGAGTTCTGTTGGAATTTTCTAGTACAAACAACCCAATCTGTTTGCCTGAATTTTGTTTTTACATTTGCTACCCAGAACTTACAGGATAAATTGTATGTAATTTATAAGAATATAAAACACCTTATAAGATGTGCCAAGCATCTCTACCCTGATCTGAAATATAACTCATTGAGGAAACAAGTGCCTAAAGCAAACTGTACTATTTGTTCAGAAGATCACCCACATTCGTGTTCACAAAGATATGAAACGTAATTGTGATCAATTAGTTTTACATCAGGGATAGTAAATAAGGAAAAAGACAAGGCAAATAAAACATCTTGGGTTTTAAAAACAAGATTAACAACTTGACTCTGTTCTTGTCAATCTATGGTAATTCTAAGTCCTTAAGAAAAGCTTAGGATAGGGCCCGGCGCGGTGGCGCTAGTGGTTAAAGGTCTTCACCTTGCACGCCCGGGATCCCATATGGGTGCCGGTTCTAATCCCGGCAGCCCCACTTCCCTTCCAGCTCCCTGCCTGTGGCCTGGGAAAGCAGTCGAGGACGGCCCAAAGCTTTGGGACCCTGCACCCACGTGGGAGACCCGGAAGAGTCTCCTGGCTTCGGATCGGCATAGCATCGGCCCGTTGTGCTCACTTGGGGAGTGAATCATCGGGCGGAAGATCTTCCTCTCTGTCTCTCCTCTCTGTATATCCGCCTTTCCAATGAAAAAATAATAAAAATAAATCTTTAAAAAAAAAAAAAAAAGAAAAGCTTAGGATAGATACTAAAATATGAGGGAATCCAGTCAAGTCTAAGTCCAACGTTTATAAGGCTCCAAGCCCTCTACTGAACAAATTCTCACTCTTTTAAGTTTACCTTTTCAAGGTAACTCTGCACTTTAGAGTGTCATAGAAACATGAAAAACTCAGCAACAAAAGACACATGAAAAATATCACAAAATCAAGAGACAAGTAGAAATGGGGATTCCTGTGGTACACGAATCTTCCACACACAAGTGCTTTGCTTGTGTGGTCATGTCAAGCACAGTTCAGTTACGGTCCATTCAATCAAGGGGAATGAATTAGGAAAAAAGACATTGTACCTTGTCTGAGTGATGGCTCCAGCAGTCGCTGAGGTTCCTTACCGTGGAAGAGGCATTCCTCCCGAAACTCAAACCACATCATGTCTAAGTTGTTTCTGAAGTCCTTCCCACACCGGAAATGTCAATGAAAAGAATTCTTTCCCACCCCACTTTGACCAGTCAATAACCCTTTGGCCCAGTTCATACAATACAAAGTTTAAAGGAGAGTTGGGAAAACAGCATTTTAACAGGATGTGAGGGAAACTACTGAGAACTGTAACACTGGATTTCTCATTTGGAAGTCCACTAGCCTTTATATTAAATTCTGAAAAACTACTAACCTAAAGAGAAAATTTGTCCTAAAGGTAGGTAGAATTTTAACTTAAATTGAGCTGGTTAGCAAACTTAGTTTTTAGACCTCTTTATACTCTGACCCAGACATAACAATTTAACTTGGACTTTGTCCTTTCTGGGCTGAAAGCTGGGCAGATTAGGAGCATCTGTATGTTTTAACATTTGTTCTAGTATGAGCACAAAAAAATAAAAATACCCAAACAATTTCACCCTGAAAATCTTTGTAATACCTATGTGGGTGAAATGAGAACTACTAATGAATCTTGAGTTAACCAGTACATTCTACTTATTGAACCCAACCCAGCCAATAAAAAGCACACAGCCAAGAGGTCTCCGGGTGCACACTCCATACCAGCTTTCACAGTGGTGACTGCAGCACCCAATGTAATTGCTAAGCATTCCCAGGTCCCTCCTGTGGCTCCTCAACTGGACTTTATGACCCATAACACATCTGTAAGATCGGTAATTCATCACAACAAACAGCAAAGCAGGCCTATTTTCATTCTTAAAACTATGCACGAACACTGGATCTTACACCTCCAGAGTGTGGTGCTAGAAACATCTATCACTTTACTGTCTCAGCCTAAGTTTCTGAGGCTAAAGTCTTTGTAATTAAAAAAGCTGAACCAGACTGTTCACTGATTACAAGTAAACTAAATGGATTATGTTCTTTTCACTCTATAAGGAGCAATACACAGATATATTGAGGAAGAAAAGCATATTTAATTGCTTATTCTCTATTATTCTACCATTCCAATTTTATCATCAATGAATGAATTAAGTTAAGCAAATATGAAATGCTTGGTAAGACTTCTGATGATAATCATTGAGTTCACAAATTAATTTCTCATGTGTTCAAAGAGGTGGAATATCCAGCAAGTGGGATATCCATCTCCTCCAATCTTTGCCTCTAAGGGTTACACACTGCTGTTCCCTGTCAATTCAAACAGCCTAAATAAACATTTACTGCAAAAGAGTGAGGGAAAAAAAATCATAGTTAGAATATTACTAAAAAAAATCTATAATCTAGCAGCAAATATTTGATTTGTCAGTTAAGACATTCTGTATCCCATTATCACAGTGTCTGGATTCCATTCCAAGTATCAGCTTCCGGCCAATGCACTGCCTGACAGTCAACGACGGTGGGAGTTGCTGGATGCCTGCCACCCAAATGGAAGGCCTGGATTGAATTCCTGACTCCTGACTGTCCTAGGTCTGGCTGGAGTCACTGCAGGCATTCTGAGAGTTGAACCAATATATGGAAAATATCTGTCAAATATTAAAAAAAAAAAAAGTGTGTGTATGTAGAGATGGCAATTAAATCTATACCTTAATATCTCCATATACCAAGATCCCCAAAAATTGAACATAAATAATACCCACATATGTACATCAAGCTCACAAAATAAGTACTGTTGGGATGCAGTAATGATATTATAATATTAGATTGAGAAGCTTTATATATTCATTTTAAGCAAATATGTTCATTTTCAGAAGTGACAAAGTTTCTCTTTAAAATATAATAAATGTGAATTCTTTAGATTCTGCTGAAAATGTAAGAATTGAGGGGGAAGCCTCCATAAAATAACTTGGGATAAGCATATCAATTCTTACTAAAAATGGCAACCAAGACTAGAGTCAATTTACCTTGGAAAATGCAGGAACTTCTTTCCAAAACCTTAGGGACTGTTTACCTGACCTGTGAAGCTCACTGCACAATCACTGCTCACTAACTTCCGAGGGGCTCACAAAGTCACCTCGGTCTCTGTTGAGATGCAGCTTTCTTGATTTTACTTCCAATAATCCTGATTTGGTAAGTCTGAAGTAGAACATGGACATGTACTCTAATAATACAGACCAAGGACCTGGAAATAAGCACTCTGAAGATATTTAATCATAATTCAGCAAATAAAACAACTGGCAATGTGATGCTCAATAAGAATCATGATCTATCCTAAAGGGTTTCCTTACTGTGCCAAAAAGTATTAATCACCAAGTCCCTGATATATAAAGAAAATCTAAATACATGAATATGAATAAAACAGGGAGGTACTTAAGCACACAAAAAAATCTCCCACCAACTCATAGTAGAATTGAAATTAACAGTTCTTTAACAGGTAAAATTAGAAACTACCTGAATTTTGACAATTTGAAATACAACATATGCTGGCACACACTATCTTACATTATAAGGATACACAGAGCATCCTGTAAAACCTAAAGTAAACATAATTTTAAAATACTATACTAGGAAATTTATCTGAATTTTAGCAATCTACTTAATAGCTCAAGTTAATATTTGCTACCAGAATTTTGTGAACTGAAGATTTTAATGCTATGCTATAGAACTAACACTTTTGTATCAAAAAATGTGCTACATAAAATTATGGTGTAGTAAAATTGTTTTAACAAGTAGCTTTATAATAAAACTTGACAAAAGTTCAACTTCCTAAACGTACTGAGATTTTTAAAAAATCTAAGTAGATATTGCACTAGAAGCAGAAAATAAAGCCTCAACAAGCCACTGTCTGGGAGGAACCAGGAGGACAGCAGGATGTTCTGAGCAATTTCCTGAGCTACAGGAAATGAAAAGCTGGAGACGCCGAGCTCTTCATCAGTGTCCTCTTTTTTCTGAACAGGCTTACTCGTTATTAACTGATAAAAGATAACACGTATGATATTAAAAACTAAAATCAAATGGCTCTACTGTCATGAATGTCAGTTAATACTCAACCCGGAGAAAAGTCCACTTGGGACAAACTTTTAACTTTGAGAGGAGAAATCCACTTTATATTTGTAGCATCAACTTTAGCATGTTGCTTTACCAAGAGATAATAATATCCTCCATGGTGAAACTAAGCCTGTAGTCATGCTGATCAAAAACAACTGAGTTACAAAAGGGATCATTTCCACAACTAATTCAAATGATTACTTCAGCAACATATAAACATGAGCTGGATGGAGGTCCAATCTTGGGCTTTTTTCCAGCAAAGGAAGACTTGGCAGACTATTTTTAAGTATAATTTAACTGAAAACACTAATTCAGCTTCAAATTTATTTTAATGATATGTACAGGAGTTAACAAATTACAATTAAAACGGAATCAGTTATGTTAATAACACATAACTTAAAATCATGCAATACTGCATGGTAAAAACAACAGCTTCATTCATATACAAAAAAGTATTTTGAGACTCATGATAATATATTGAAATTTCTGACATAAGTTTTTCGCAAGGAATACTTTATAAAAATGTAAATACCTGATTAATCGGCTAATATGTTGTTAGGAAAGAGAGTTAACATTATTAATAAAGTGAAGTTACAAGCAATTAATTTTAAAAGTATACCAGGTACCAGGATGTATGTAGTCTCATGAAATAAATGGTTAAGAAAATAGTTTTGAAAAAGATCTCATATTGAAGCTATGTATTAATTTCATCAAAGTGGGTTATATAAATGAATAGTCAAGTTTACTCAGTTAAAGAAAATATGCCTATCCTTCCTTACTCTTATAAATAGTACTTACATGTAGTTTTATATACAAGTGAAGAAAACCTCAGTGTAAAAAATATCCTGCCAATCCACCTACTATGGTTGAAGTAGTTCTTTATCTACACATTCAATTGCACTGATGTAAATGTCCGATTTAAATCACATTCAACCAGCATAAATATTTAAGCTGAGTATTGTAAACAATAAAAATTTTTTTCCAGGAAAATTTTTGATCACTGGGTAACAATCTACTTCTCAGCTTAAAATGCCATAGAAAGGCTAAACATTTAATTCAATCAAAACACCAAGCCCATAAAACTCAGTGTAAACAAACTGAATGTTTTCAAAGTGCATAATTTCCAACTCATCCACTTATCTAGTTCCAGTTCATCAACAAGAAAATAAAATTTACTTGGCTATAAAAAATACTAAGGAATGTTTTTGAAAAGGAAAGGCTATTTGGTAGAAGTAACTACAAAAATAATTAGTTTAAATCTTTGTAAAGCTTTAATGCAAGAACATCAGTACACTTTTCTTTCCATAAACCTTAAAGCATGATCATTACCAGGATTTTAAATTTCCAACATTCAAGTACTTAAGAAAGAGTTTGAAACAAAATGTCTCTTCCAAAAAAAAAAAAAAATACAAGAATGATCATGAAGGTGTTAGTCTCTTGGCATTTGGGGATGCTGGCATCTGTGTTGGGCTGTCATCTCTGGCTCCACAAGCCGCAAGTGTAGGCAAAGTGTTACTCTGAAATGCGGATGCAGGACGAGACAGGCTGGCATTTTCATCTTCACCAACATCGGAATCTGGTGTTGCGCTTTCACTGTCCTGAAGCCCTAGAATCTCACAAACTGCTTGCGGCAATTCCTAGAAATAAAAAGTTCAACACAAAACAAATGGTCACTGTGAACAAGACACTTACAAAATAACACCTCTAGGTAAAATCAGGTTGATTCCAGATTCACAACATTAGTTTTAACAGTATGTCTGTCATGTTCCCTTCTCACACCTTTCTGGACCCCAAATGAAACACCACTGGTTTTTCTAAATGGCTGCAATTTCTACTCCAAATTCAGCACTGTCCTCTCTACCTTTAGCACTTCCACAAGCACAGTTATTTAATATATTTGGCATTTATCTCTTCCTATTTTATCACAGTATTTTATCAAAACAGTCTTCTCCTTTATAAGTTTCTTAAAGGTAAGAAGTGTCTCACTGACATGCCCTGGAACAGAGCAGCTGTCAAATAAAAGTTTGTAAACTGGAACTAAGTAACTGTCTGGGTTAGTGCACAAATGACACAAGGGCCAGGTGAGAGTTCTCATTAAAAACTTGACTGAAGTGGGAGTTCAGGCTTCCTCCACGCCTGCAGCCCGCTCGGGCAGGTTACAGGGGCACCAAGACGCCCCTTCTCCCTCTGGGACGGCAGGAGGCGTGCTCTCGGGGGAGGTGGGGACCACTGGCCCCACATGCAAAGAAAAAAAAAACTTTACAAAAGCCAAAATACTCCAGTGTATACTGATTTGTTTTTAATTCACACAATACATCAAATTTGTCTTGTTTTACTGAGTCATGTATAATGACATAAATTGTATTCATCTATTTTATTTCTGATTAGTATCTGCCTTTATTTAGAGATACTATATATTTAACATGAGATCCTATTCTGTATTCATTAATTGGGTAATACATCATTGCTTAAGTTCTTCAGCTTTTTAAATTCCTGTATAAATATTTTCATTACTCTTGCCATTTTACATTACTATTAAATGTTTCCCGTCAGGCAAATTAGTCAACTGTTTTCAATTAAGTGATAACAATCTATATTGGTAAACAAAAGCTCAGTCAGTGCGCTGCATCTTCCCTCAATTTGTTAAAACTGCAAGGTATTTTTTTTCTAAGAAGAAATCTTTCTTGACCTCAATCTACCAAAAACAACAAATCTTTCAATTATTTGAAAAACTATATACCTTGCACTTTACCATCTGCAGAGAGATTGCTTCTGCTTTGCACAATATGTCTTCCACATCAATTTTCATGGACAATTCATTGATATGCTAAAAAGAATCAATAAAGTAATCAAAACTTAAAACATTATATGTTACTACACAATTAATTATCAATATATTACATTGTGGTTAAAGTACTTGACAATAATACATACTACAAATATTCAGGAAAATCAAACTGTCTTTCATTTGACAGTTTCAAGGATGAAAGTTTAAAAACAGCTAATAAACTTAACAAACATTTAATTCAGCAGCTGTCCCAAATCAGCCAGTTTAAAGTTACAAGCAAGAGAGTCATTTTCTTCAAAAACTAAACCACATAAAAGAACATTTATTGAATTTATTTTCTTCTTAATTTTTCAGGTAAAAATATCTTGCCAATATGTGCTGGTTAAACTGCCATTCTCAGAGATTCAGTTCTAGTTCTAAGTGTTATTGATACTATTTAACACTTAATAACTCTTCAGGGAAATGGTCTGTATATCAGAATCACCAAACAGGAAAAAGAGACAGTACACTGAAATATAAGTTAAAGAAGTAACTACCTTAAGTATTTCATTGAAGCCATAATGTTTTTCCATTATTTGCTGTTTCTCTGATTCCAGAATAGCACAACAGAGAAGAAGATGGAAATTCTTACATGGCAGTTCAGTCCACATTACCTATTAAAAAAAAAAAGAAGAAGAATTCACCAACTATTAACAGATTCGCAGGAAGGAGATAATACTCTTATTTTATCAAGAGCTGACTAAATGGTAGTACGTTAGGGAGGGGAAAGAATTTATGATGCTCTATTGTGCGCCAGATGACAACAAATAATGACTACACATAATTTATATATTAAAAAGGATCAGAACAAATTTTAATGTTTCACCACAAAGAACAAATGTGTGAAGAGGTAAGATATGCTTACCCTGATCTGAATACTAACAATGCATATATATCCACATATACCAAAAGATCACATGAAATCACAAGTGTTATTTGTATATATATTTAAAATATTTTTAAGAACAAAATATTCAAAAGTTAGTTTTCCTGGCTAAAAAGTAGAATAAGATTATATACATAAAAAAACAGAATGAATTTCCTCTGAGAAGGAAGGAATAAAACTAGAGTTGGGGAATAAGAGAAACTCTTTGTTTTTCTTGAGAAAAAAAAAACTAGAATATTACAGAATATTTACAAATATTAACCCTGGAAGGTAGAAGTTTTTTTATATTAATTTATTTTGTTGTTACTTAAACTTCTTTGAAAAAGCAAAATAACTCCAGGTGTAAGCAACTGTCTAAGTTGCTTTGTACCTAAGCAAATGTCACACTGCTAGGAGAAAAACAGCCAACAGATGGCTGACATTCAGGGCCTGGTTCATGCCAACTCTGCATTAACTATACCAGTGTGTCAACACAGTTGCCTATTCTATTTCTTTTTCAAAACCTGGGGGAATAGGAGTTGGAGTGGAGCCCAACCCCACGTTATGCATACTGGCCAGAGCTATCCTACCGCCAATGTCACCATCTGCACATGGTAGGGGATAGGTTGGGGGAGGGCTATGTATCTGTGCATTGCCAGGAACTGGGAAAATCAGGGACAAGTCAAAATGCAGGCACATTGAGGGTATGTTTCACATGTATAAAATGATTTCTAGAGGCTTCCATGAACTGAATCATGAATCAATGCATAAACTGGTAATCATGAGAGTTGAGACAGTGAGGACCAGAAGGGGAAATCCAGAAGTCCTCTCATTCAGGCCAAAGCACCTGCCACAGCACACAAGAGGGACTGGGGGCAGACCAGACCAGGCTAGGTCACTGGCACATGCACGAAGTAAGGACTAGGGACAAACATAATAGAGAGGCAAAGGGACTGGCCCAACCAGGCAGCAGCATCCACCAGTTTGCACTGAGCCAGGGTTGGTAGCAGAACTGAACAAGCAGCTGCACCTACTAGTCCATGCACTGGATGATGCAGGGATTGAACTGAGCTTACCATGTACCAGCTGGCGCACACAAGAGCAAACTATATAGACCTCGCAAGTGAGGTTTCTTAGGAGGCTCCCTAACTAGACAGCTATGCTCCATCTGGCCCTGAGGAAAAATGACACAGGCAATTGGTCCAACCCTGGAGCACATGTTGTAGAACTGTGCCACCTCAGTTGCTAACCATTGTACGAGAATGGAGAGAATATTCAGATGAACACAAAAAAACAAGAAAGCAACCTCATTGAAGCCAACAGAAGACTGAGTACCTCATCAAAAGATGGAGAGAAGGACAGGTTGAAAAAAACTCCAAGCCAGGCTCTACAACAAGCAACTAATTTGTGGGCACATTGAGTTAGACATGGACAGCCAATAGACCTTAGAAAGCATTTTTTACCTCTGTTGTACCAAAGCCAACAACTTCTCAGAACAATCAAGACCACTCAAATTTACACACTTGGAACACTCTTCCCTACATCAGGGCCTCAAAGGCCAACATCAAATAACCACGTCTGTCCTGGGTGCTGATGCAGTGTGACAGCAAGGAGTGGTCCCTTCCTCTCCCTCCCTACCCCCCTTCACCCTGCTCCCTGGCACAGGAGAGAAAAGAGAAAACATTTATCCCACCCACCTTCTGCCTATGCCCCAACCCTGTCCATCCTGACTGCAGATCCACATGGGTCTACAAACCACCCACCTTTGTAATACACATTAAAATAAAATTCAATAATTTTAAATAAAGAAAAACACAAGCCAGTTCCTTTTCAACACCTCAAGACTGCAAACTAAAATGTCAACTCAACTGACTGGTCCATGTGAACTTTCTCAAGGGGGCAGGTGTTCAGAGAAGCAGTTCAGGTACTTTGCATCTCTAGTTAACGACCTTAGTTTTGATACCTAGATCCGACTCCAGCTTCCCACTAAGGCAAATTCTAGTAGAGGTGATAGGTTAATTAATTTGGTACCTGCCACCCATGTGGGAAACCTGACAAAGTTCCTAGCTCTCAGTTTTAGCCTTGCCTAGCCCCAGCCACCCTATCTGGGGAACAAACCAGAGAAAGGAAGAGCTCTCTTTCAAATAATTTTAAAAATCTCAAATACTAAACAAATCTCCAAAATTTGACAGACTTTTATATCGTCAAGTGTCCCAAAGAAAGAACACAGTCAACAAGCAATCTAAAGAATTCATTCTGGATTGTACCTCTCCAGCCCCAAATCTCACAGGAATCGTAGAAGAAGGAAGTTCCAAAGGACCAGGTATTAGGTTTTAAGTCATTCGTTTTCAATGTGAAGCCACAAAAGTCATCAAAACTTTGGAATAAACTTGTATTAGAAGTTTCAATTAGGTATCACAATGCATTATACTCTAAAGAATAGTTTCTATCTATAACAAACATCAGATTTGTATAGTAAATTTACAAACTTACCTCCCATAGTCGAAGAATATCCAGAAAACTAAATTCCCTTTTAAATCTGATTAGAAGCCATCTGAAGCAAAAATAAAGGTATCCAGAGTCCTGAGATTCTATACAGAAGGGAAAAAAATAAAAAACCACATATGTGGATGACTCTTAGGCTAAATGTCATAGTACATTTAAACTTTCAAACTCAAATTTTCTAAGTGTCCCAAGTGATTAGAAGCTCTATAGATGTACCTCAAAATAATTAAAATTTATAGACCAGCTTCATTATAAAAACCATAATAAAAACAAAAATCACTTTATGACTAAAGCATTTCATGGCAGAACTATATATACACAGTTTGGTTCAAATTTTTGTTTCCTAGAGGGCAGAACAAATAAAGTACATTGATATGTGAATATGTTCTGAAAGGAGTCCTTTACGTTTCTTTCTCCTGCATATTACACCATTTGCTGGGTTTAGTTATGATTCACTAACCTTACCTAGGTAACTGCAAAATCCACTGTCCAATAATCGGAGTAAGGTACTCAGCTGAATTAACTGAGTCTTCATGCCTTGCATCTGTTCTTCAAAATTGTGATGCTTTAAAAGAAAATAATTGTTACCATACCATAGAAGCAATGTTTCATGAATATTTATAGTACATAATGACTGATAGCTAAGACTACAGAACTAATTAAAAAGCTAAAGGAACATTCAGGAAGGAAAAGAGAAAAATTTCTTATCTCAAACTAAAGATATCCCTCCCCCATTAGTCATCTGAGTTAAAGAGAAAATGGAAGGGTAGCAGCTAGACTGACAAACGCTTCTGACACAGCCGAAGAGTTCACAAAAGGTAAAGATGATCATTTTTTTAAAAATGTATTTTCAAGTTCAGGAAAGAAAATACATTTCTGGTAAATATTTATTCAATTATTTCCATTGTTAAATATTCCTTCAAACTACATAAAAGCCATTTTAGCTTTAATATCTCATTTTTTTAATTACTAATTTCTTCTTTGATTTGTTTATACCAAGAAATCTTTGAAGTCAAAACCACTATTATGACATACTGAAACACTGACATTTTATACTTTAATTCTACCACAACCGTAAAGGCTATATGTAATAATCCAACAGACTGGATATAGAGGCAGCTATGGAAACAGAGTTGTCTCCTACTAAATCAGACATTTCCAAAAAATTGCAATTTTAAAACTTCCCCCCACTTTGGGGACAGATGTTTTGCCTAGCAGTTATACCGTCAGCTGGGAGGATCACACACCATGTAAGAGAATCTAGATTCAAAGGCCTGTCTCCACTAACCCCAAACACCCAGGTACAGGTGCTTCCCAGCCAGCCACACTGAACACCTGCAGGCTGACCCAGGCCCAGCCACTGTGGGACACTGGGGGTGTAATCCAGAAAATGGGAGTTCTTTCCAATAAATATTATATTTTTTTTTACTTAAATCATGGGCTTGTGATAAGAGGCCCAGTCTTGTTTGAAAAAATAATTAAAACAAATAAAATTTTCCCTTTTTAGCAAATCATTTTCATTTGGAAAGGTTGCTTTTTTTCCAGAAAGAGAAAAGTAAACCATGTTAAATTGAAATATGTGTTCATTGTTTAAGTAAATTTGTAACTTCTTACAAATTCCTGAGTTTTGGCCCTAGGATATATATCAATACATATAAGCATGAGAAGGGGCCTGTTGACAGTGTATACAGCAGCTCTCAGTCTTCAAATTGGAACAAAACTGGAAGGAATCAAAATAAAGGCTTTGAAAGGCTTCTCAGTTCTGATGCCTCTAGTTCATGTGTCCCAACCTTTCTAAGGTATCCCACAGTTCTAATCCTTATGAAAAGCCTTGGACTAACACCTCTTTAATGAATTAGAGAGCCAGTTTAATTTAACTGATGTCTTCAGGATATGCTTTCTACACATTTTTGAGATGGATCTGCAGAGGGAAAACAGAATAAACTATTTAACAGGCCATTTTTTGCTGTAACAAAGTCAGACATATGGGGGCACCAACAAACAGCATAGCTATTGCTACCCACTATGTTATTACCAAAAAAAGGTACCCCCAAATTACAGACACCAACTTCAGAAACAATGGGGCCAACAACAGATACACAAAGGATTACAATCGTATCTGTAATTGAGAACGTGTCCCTGTGTGTGAACAGATGCACATGGGGGCAGAAACGGAAAGAAAGCCAGGACTAACACTAGATGGAAAAACAGAATCATGGGGGCAAGAACACTCATGAGATAGACAAAGTCTACTCCTGATCTACATCGGCTCTAAGTAAATATCAACAAAGCAAATTTATGGACATAAGGTTTAGCTATCACAAAAGCAATAAAAACTTACATGAAGTAAAGCTGTAAAACAAAAACAAGGAGTCAAGAAACACAGATTTAAGGACACTAAATCCATAGTAATGCAGTGAAAGTAATTGCAAATTATTTTTATTGCCACATCCAAATATTATGAAATATCATTTTTTGAAAATGTTAGTAGACAAAATGTTAAGAAGAGATCTTAGTAGAATAAAGACTGGAAAATTCCCCAGTCCATACTGAACATGAAAGAGAGATACAGAGAACATTTACTGTGTAGGACAAAAAAGCTGAACCTTCTTCATGCACAAAAATGACAACAGGCTTACAGCCCTATGCTACAGATACTCCACAACGTAACCACCTATGAAACTAAAATCCTCCCACACCTATGTGTGAAGGCATGCATGTGACCTAAATGTCAGCATATTTGAAAATACCAACAGTAGCTCAGTTTACCTGAAAACTACTTCTGCGGTAAACTGAATGCTGAATTATTATGTTAACTTTCTAGTACCTACTATAAGTAGAGGTTTAAACTTAGCATTGGGGAATAATTCTCATATTTATTCCATAAAAATCTGAATAGCGTCAATGTCAAGCATTAGGAACATTCTGGAATACTATCAATGAAATAAAGACACCTTTTATGAGGGAACATACTAGCTCTACTGAAAAAAGGATGAACAACGAAACCATTAAATAAAAAAAGGTAGACTATGTAATTCTTACCAATTGTAAAGATCTTTGTTAACATATGTTTCAGGTTTCTGTGCCTGGCTTGTTGGCTCAAAAGGCTAATCTAATCCTCCCCTTACAAGCACTCAGATCCATATGGGCACCAGTCCTGGCTGCTCCACTTCCCAAGTCTGTGGCTTGGGAAAGCAGTGGAGGATGGCACAAAGCCTTGAAACCTGGGTGGGATACCTGAAAGAAGCTCTTGGCTCCTGGCTTAGGATCGGCTCAGCTCTGACCATTACAACCATTTGGTGAGTAAACCAATGGACAGAGGATCTTTCTCTGTGGCTTTCCTTCTCTGTAAATCTGCCTTTCCAATAAAAAAAACTTTAAAACAAACAAACAAATAACAAAGCAAGTGTTTCAGGTTTGTAGAGCACCTGGGAGTAATAAGAACTAAGACAATAGGCACATAAAATTAATCAAAAAGTAAAAAAGAAAAACTATATCATTACTAGACTACTGCAATCAACAATCCTTCCAAGTAATTCACATTAATTCATGGAAAAAGATTATGTTAAGTATTTATTAATAGCAGAAAATACAAAACTATCAAATCATATCAAATATATAGTTTGAAAAAACTGAGAATGGATAAGGTATTTGAGGAAATCAATCAATGTGAGAAAACTGGAAGAAAAGTAGACAAATGAGGAAAAAACAGAAGTACAGAGGAAAGAAGAGTATATCACTTCAAATTTCACATTTGTATCTCAGAAGCCTTAAAACATAGCAGGGAAATATCTTAAGTGCTATCCGTATCCTCTTGAAAGCAAGTCATTTCAACAACTGACACAGTAACCCAGCATTAAGTAGAGCAGTTTTATATTGAAGAAACACAATGCTTTGTGGTCAGTTATTTACATAAGTGTGCCTCAATCTACTTTCATCCTTCCATTTTCTTTTCCTAATTGCTTGAGAAGACTTTTCTGTTTTATTTTCATTAATAGTCTCTGAACTACTATCCTTACCTCTGTCCAAAGACATAGAATGACAATAGATATAGTTTTATCTAAACTAATACCTGTATGTAGACATAGTTCAATACTAATAATTACACTTTTGGGAAAATGACAATGAACTGCTAACAAAGTGTCAGCTACAAACAGCTGAAACACATCTGCAGAAAAATCTGTTCCTGTAATGACGAAAATCTGAAACATTTACAAAAGGCAAGGATATTGCTTGTTATGACTAAGCTTTATCTCTGAAACAGAGGATATTAAAGTTCAGTGCCTTCGTAAGATCTAACTTTTCTATGACATCAAATTCTGTTCTGACTCATAACTCTTCTACAGAATATAATCCTGATTATTCCTGTACTACGGGCACAACTTATACCAACTTTTATAATATGAAGCAATTCTAGTATTTCTAAGCCTCTTAAAACACTATCAAAAAGGAGAAAAAGGCATCAAGTAATATTTTGAAGTTATATGATAATGGGTAATTTTTTTATATCGATCTTTTAGTAAAATTATACAACTAAATTTTCAAAATCATTATGATTGAAAGAGAGAATCCTTGTTCTTACCATTTGGTCCATGTAAGCAGCAAAGCACCAAAAGGCATCCACTTCATTTTCCATCACATATAAAAGGGGGGAAAGTAAGTCACTCATTCCTTGTACATACCCTAGGGGGAAAAAATGACTCTTAAAACTGAAGTTTTATGTATCCTTCGACACCCATCACCACCATCTCACTGAAAAGTAAATCTTTCCTTACATTCATAAACTGGAAGACATTGATATTCACCAAGAAAATAAACAGAGGGACATGGTAGAGGTGAGAAAGACAAGCTGTTTTAGACTGAGATGTCACGTAGTTTTACAGTTCCTAGAATGAGTCTTAGCATAGATATCACTAACATAAGTGGACATTAAGTAAGTCATATGCAGGAGCATCATAGGAAAGGGCAGGTGAATAAAGTAGCCAATGGAAGGCCAATTAAAAGAGTACATACTCAAACGAAGATCTGAGAAGGTGTGGACAGGAAAGGAAAGCACTCAAGGAGAGAGATCCTTGAATACAGTATCAAGGGGAAGAAAGCTGCGAGGACTGAACAGGCAATGGCAATAAATGAATGAGCCCGGTAAACCTAGAGCACACTTCTTTCAGCAAGCCAACCACTGGAAACTTAAACATGAGGGCTCACAAACTATGTACCTCTTCTAAAGGTTTTCTTTTCCCTTTCTTTTGTTACTTTTTGCCCAACCAATTCCAGTAACTGGCTTTATTATAATCCATACTTTATGCTTAAACTTATCAACTTGACTACCTTTCTCCTGATGCTGTTCTAATCTCTCAACCATGACACCAATTACAGACCCTGATTAAAAGAAAAAACTGGAAAGTCAAGGAATCAGACCCCTCAATTAACAACAAAGTGCTGATTTTGCTTTTCACTCGAACATGTCAAACTTTTGTTTATTCCTTTCATTTGCAAAACCTTCAACTGCTTTCTTTTAACAATTTTACTTACACACAGAAAAAAAAACAAGATGTCACACTAAGACTTTCCACTTACATTTTATCTTTCAATTTTAATAACCTTTGTATATCTGTTAAAACTGAAAAGACTCTAATGGGTAGCTTGAAAAGTCTAGAAAACATAATCTTTCATTTGTAAATCCAAAGCTTATACACAACACCTATTTGCACTAAAGCAACTTAATGAGTATATAATTTAAAGAAAGACTGGATAGTTCAGCTAAAAACACAAGTATACATCATTCTTCCTATTTTGGGGAGGAAAAAAGTTATCCCAGAAACCTGGAAAGTCAAAATATCTTTGAGAAAAATGAAATAAAAACATATAATAAAGACAGGCACTTAAATCATCTAACGGCTCCTTTTCAAATAAAGGTCTAGGTCAGGTTACTCTTAGTCTCTCAGACATCATCCACTGCTGTGCCTCTCCCCGTGGTCCTAGTAACCTCATTTTGTCTACATTTTGTCCTAAAGCAAGTCTACTCATTTTAGCAATTAGTTACATGTGCTTCCATGGAGGATATACACTATTATAGTACCAAATAATGGAGTTGGCAATGCAGGTAAATAGATAGGACACCAGTGTTGTGGAATAACACATGAAGTCAGGCATCCCAGACAGGTGCCAGGTTCATGTTCCAGCTGCTCTACTTCAGCTGCGTCTACATCTTCCATATAGATGGCAGGAGTACAAGAACTTGGGTCACTGTCCACCACTTTCCCAGGCCACCAGGAGGAGGACGATGCCCATAGTGGATATGAACTAGTGCTTAGGTAATGGCTTTATCCACCATGCAACAATGCTGATCCTTATGAAAATGGTTTCTAAAATAATATAAACTTTTAAGAAAAGATCAGAATAAAAAAAAAAAAGACTGATTTGTTATCAGAACTTTCCTACTTGGTACTGACTGAGAAATCAATGACAATTATAAAGGCTAAACCAATTACAGCATGGAGGAAATCTCACTGAATTCAACAAAGCACAAGAGTACTACTTTACTAGGTCTGACTGCACATACGGTCCAGGAAGGAAATATTTCAAAGTCACTATTCAAAAGATTTACAAAGCATATTTTCTCATCAGAAAGGATGCAATTAAGTTATGATGAATAAAAACTTCTAAGAAAATATCTTAATCCTTTTAAGTCTTTGGTTTTCATATCGGCTCACTGATATCTTTCTTTTTGTAAGTACTAGCTGAAGAAAGTAATCAAATTAATCTTCATCTTCTGGTTGCCATTAATACATTTTGCCTTATACATGATGTTCTTTTGGGTATGTCATGGGTTGTGGGAGTGGAATTAATGGACAAATTCCTTTTAATTAAAGAAGGATGAAAGCTGTTTTCATCAGCATTCACTGGATTCCACACGAGTGCTGACTGATGTACATCTTAATCAGCACCACTACAATTTCTAAAGTAGTTCCTTAAAATAATTTTCACAGCAAGTCTGGTTTAGTGGGAAAGTATGAGAAGTTAACCGCATATCATCCCAGTATACACTTCCTCACACTGAAAAAAAAATCCTCTACATATAGGTCAATTTTTTAGATAACTGAAGATAGTCCTTTTGAATATCAAATTAACACAAATCTTGGGGTATAGAAATCATTTTAAAGAATCACTAGTTAGCTCTTACCTTCTGACACATGGTATTTTGAAATGAAAGGTACCTAACCTTTCATTGATTATCCAGAATTATCAGCATGCACATACTATAAAAGAGACACACCTCCCAAATACTTTCTGAAACACAGTGCCTTTAAACTCTCAAAAATTCTTTCTGCTTTTGAGAATTCTTGTTTTTCCTCCCTAGTAACAAGACTGCACCCAATGCCAATATTCCACACCTCACTGATGAGATAAGAAGCAAAATAACTCAATATGATGGAATCACTTATAGACTAATTTACAACCCAGGTAACTCTTACATGAATAAAGAGCATGAAATGAGGACCACTGAACTACCCTGGTTCTCATAAAGCCAGGACAGAAACTTTGATTATATTTCAAAGAACTGAAATGTCTATACAGAAAAAGACACAAGAAATGTCAACTTATCCAATTAGAAGATTTTGGACAGTTGCCCTGACTGTATATCCATGAGTTCTTCTGGAAATTACCATCTGAGATACTGAAGCATCCCTGCAGTCCCAAGGATGATAATCCCACTCCCTAGAGAAATTAAATTAGTGTGCTGGCAGTACGGCATAGCCAGTGAACCCACTGCCATCAATACCAGCAATGTACGTGAGCACCAGTTCGGCTCCCAACTGCTTCAGCTCCTCGACTTCTGGTAGCTCTACCTCAAATCCAGCCCCCTGTTTCTGCACCTAGCAAAGCAGTAGAAGGTGGTCCAAGCCCTTAGGTTCCTGCACCCACGTGGGAAACCCTGAAGAAGCACCTGGTTCTTGGTTTTGGCCTGGCCCAATTCCACTTGTTGCAGCCAGTTAGAGAGTGTATCACCTAATGGGAAATCTCTTCTCTCTCTCAGTCTGACTTGCAGAGAGATAAAAACAAGTCTTTTAAAAGAAATTAAAATGATAATTATGCTTGATGGCTGAAGGTACAGAGGAAAGAAATGCCAACGTGAAATAAAAACCTGGGTCTCTACCTCCAGGCCAATTATTTCCAATTGTACGGCTTTGAATCCCTCTCTGAATCAGTATAACCTTACTAATAAAATTAAGAATTACTTTCCCACTTCTTCAAAAGGCTATTATAAAATAAAGTCAGATCAAGTATGATGGCCCTCTGAAGCCTATAAAGCACTCTACCACTAGCTTTCAATGACCCAGTTTGAAGCTGTAATAGACAAGACAGGTTATAGTCTGCATCTTAAAGAGAACTCTGACTTTCAACTTATTATCACTAAAAAAAGTTGAGAACTCAATATCCAGAGTTTATCTCTTTTCTAATTTACATATAGGAAGCCAAGAGGGAGGTACATAGACACAAGCAGTAAAGAAAATGAGCTCATAATTCAAGATTCACTGAGGTTTAATGTGCTGAATATTCAATCATGCTTTACCAAGCTCATCAGGAAAACATTTCACTCTCCTCTAGCTGGGAGCCACTTCACATGGTGAGTAACTCAGAAATCTCATTATTTATACCTAAAGGTATTGATGCTTATGGGATTTCCTGTCCTTTAAAGAAAAGGTTTGGGCCCAGCGCGGTGGCGCAAGTGGTTAAAGGTCCTCGCCTTGCACGCCCGGGATCCCATATGGGCGCCGGTTCTAATCCCGGCAGCCCCGCTTCCCTTCCAGCTCCCTGCTTGTGGACTGGGAAAGCAGTCAAGGACGGCCCAAAGCTTTGGCAACCTGCACCCGCGTGGGAGACCCAGAAGAGGCTCCTGGCTTCGGATCAGCATAGTATCGACCCGTTGCGCTCACTTGGGGAGTGAATCATCGGATGGAAGATCTTCCTCTCTGTCTCTCCTCTCTGTATATCTGCCTTTCCAATAAAAAAATAATAAAAATAAATCTTTAAAAAAAAATAAAGAAAAGGCTTATATTTCATTGGTTCCTTAAAGTTTTCTTGCCCTTTAATATATGCTTTACCAATGTTTCCAGTTCTTGGCATTCCTCTCCATGGAATTCTAGCCCCAGTCCTAACAATCCATTCTAGATAGGAAGATTCACAAAGAAAAACAAGTTCAACAAGCCTTGTGATATCATGTGTACTGTTAAACTAACTGTAATGTCTAAGATATCATATCAGTATTTTTCCTTAGAAGGGAAAGAATTCATCAAACAATGATACACAAACTCTCTCAGCTTGTATCATCCTAAACCTTTGGTAATTTTTTGCAACGCACTCCTAACCTCACAGAAATAACACCTCCATTTATTAAGTAATTAGCAGCATGAGTATCCCTGCTCTAAAAGCCTGCAATACTCTGAAACTCAAAACTTTTGATAATCCCTTTTGGACTTCACATTTCAGATTAAGTTCAAACAGTAAAGTCTGTGCAAATGCTCCAGAATCCAAAAAGTCCCTCCAAAATACAAAGTAATTCTGGCCTCAAGCACTTCAGACAAAGCATACCCAATCAATATTTCAGGGCTACAAACTGAGCACTTGTTAGGAATTACTAACTTTAATTTCAACTTAATACCATCATCATCATTTCCTGTTGCTCATTTATTTTCACATGTACTTGCTTATCACAGCAAATTCAATAACCCAGCTTTGCAAAGCTATAAATTCATCAAAAGCAATGTGTTGAAACAGTGCTAAAATGCTTAACTGCTTCAGCTAGCAGGTAGTGCAATGTCCTATAGATGCCACTGTGATTCTCTGGAAAAAATTCAAAATATCTAATAGTGTTTCCATGAGTCTATTGTGGCATCCAAGGTTTTCTTGATTAGAAATTATAGCCTTGCTTTCCAGCCCTATTGTGCAATTCCTATAAAAATTGTACCACTGATGCTAGCTTTGAGGAATAGCATGTTAAAGTATCACCTGTGAAGCCAGCATCCCATATTGATGCTGGTTCAACTCCTGGATGTTCCACTTCTGATCCAGCTCCCTACTAATGCGTCTGCAACAACAGCAGAAGACGGCCCAAGAGTTTGAGTTTCTATTCCCATGTAAGAGACCTAAATGAAGCTTCTGGATTTGGTCTGGGTCAGCACTGGCCAAGGAAGCCATCCAGGGAGCAAATCAGGAGATGGAAGATGTCTTTCTCTCCCTCTCTGTGTAACTCTTTCAATTAAATGAATAAACAAATTTACATTCTAAAGTAAATCTATAAAAATCTTCTTAAAATTAGGAGTTAATGGTACTTACCTAAATCAAAATCATACATACAGTAGGTCATCAAAATGTCATGAAGCAAAATCAATCCTGGATTGTCTTGACCTTCATAAAACTTGTTTGTCCGATCTGTTCTGTTAACATCCTTTTCTAAATAGGAAAAAATCATCACATATTTGAAAACCTTTCAAAGCCTTTATAAACCTCTCATATTTCAATGGTAAAATTATTTTTCCTACCAAACTTTACTTAACAAAAGAAAAATTCATCAAATCCCTTTCAATTATGCATTAAGGTAACATTTTGTATATATTTCAAAACAGAATCTAGCACCATTTGCGAAGATTTAAAAATATTGTTATCTAAATATAGACACCCCTTAGTAGTTCACTATTATGAAAGTATTCTCAATGAATTACGGGCAATACTAAGTAGTCAGTAACAAAATGTCAATCTTTAATGCATGAGACAGCACTAGTACTTAACAACAGCAATTTTCAAAGCTCTTCAATTAAGTGTAATCAAAAAAGTTTGTTTCATTCATAATTGACTCATGAATTATGCAAGTATAATCAACATATGTTCTATAATCATTATTAGGACAAATTATTTCCTTATTCTCATATATATATCGTCATATTTGGAAGTTATTATAAATAATTTACTTTAATTTGAGAGAAATTAAATGCTGGAAATGACTTCATGAAATTAAAATCAAATTTGGAAACAACACCCTGAGTCTATTCAAAGTCATATGGACAAATCAGTTCACAAACACTACTGTCTGCTTAGTACACCTTGTGTGAAAGACTGTGCAACTGAAAACACATTCCCAAACTTAAATCCTTCAGTAAATCAGGAATAAAAAAATTAAAAACGATTAAAACACAGAAAAGTCAATTCTGCCAATATAGAGTTATGATGGTCCCCTCATACTAAACTGAATTATCTGAAAGCTCTTTCAAAGCTCTTTACAAAGAAATGTAGAAATATTTTACAACCGAATAAAATCGAACAACAAAAGAAGGCATGATTTTAGATTCTGTACAGGCATTTTTACAAATTATAGTTTTCTATCAATATATATCTTACATTTGGTTATCTTTAAAAGCATATTTCTATATCTTAAAGAATTACATGTTTATTTAAGTATAGCAAATAAACATGCTATAAATATAAAATTCTACCCTAAATGTCAAAAGGTTTTATTCTCACTTTATGATTGATATATATATATTATTAATTTTTTATTAACTTGGGCACATCTTATAATGAGAATACAGAATATATGCTCTAATAGGTACTTAATCATACTAAAAGTCTATTTGTACCCTCATTAACTATGAGTATTCTTGTTGTGCAGATTAAGTAATGACATGCCAGGAAGAAGAAAGGAATCAAAATGATGTTATATTAGTATTCCTGAAAAGTATTAATAAAATAAATGCTTAAGTTGAAAAAAAAATCTAAATCTAACCGCCCACCTAACTTGATACATCTAAAAAAGGTCAAAGAAAAGACAACCCTGCTGACTGACTTGATTTTATATCACCATCATTAGCCTAATTTACCTCTTCTACTCTTTTCCTATTTATGTAACTAGTTCATACTCCCCTTTTCCTGAAGCCTCCATCTCTTCCCATTCCCACGTCACAGCTCTCGGGTAAGGATCTTGCTTCCTATTCCGGGAAAATGTGAACTACCCAGAGAAAACTTCTCTGTAGCTGAAACCTGAATAGTCTCCCTTACTGTTTTCACTATGAACTTCTATGATCACGGATGAAGCAGCTCCTCTTCCAGCGCATGAGGTGACAAGAACAGCCTTTGCAACACTGCATACAGACTGCCTAATACTCTTCCTTGTCTTATTTTTTTTTTCTATTTAGCACTGATTACTAGCACACCATGTATGTTACTTACTGATCTTGTTTACTGTCTGTTCTTCCCCAGAGGGATGGGATCTCCTTGAGAAAAGGAATTTTGCCTGTTTTGTTCACTGATGAATCCCCAATGCCCAGAGGACAGTCTAATACATAACAGGCACTAAGTAAATATTCCCTGAATGAGTGAGTGTATGAATGCTGAAAATAATCAACGTGACTATCAAAAAGATCCCCTGGGCATTCTAGTGCCCACCAAAGGTAGAAACCACTACTCTAAATACTGCAGTCCCTGGGCCTTCTTAACTGTCTCTCCTTTTTACACCCAGACACCTTCCCATGCTCCTACCAGACCATTCAACTAGCTAATTGACATTCCACAGGTGTGTCACCCCTTAAGATACGCACATGCAACATCTGATTCACCTTAACAATTATCTACTCTCCTTATCACAGTAAGTGGTACCACCTGCCATTTCTCACTTGGAGACCCAGTCTTGTCCCTCTCACACCCTACATTTAATACACCAGAAAATCTTACTGATTCCATCACAAAGCTCAAACCCACCTCATTTCTGTGTGTCTATTACATCAACTCTTGCTTGGATTCTTATTTCCTACCAGCTAGTAATCTTACACCCACTCTTAGCTTTCTTCAATCAGACTCCACAAACCAGCTAAAATATTTAAAATATAAACAAGATACTTGGATTTAAAATGCTCTAGTAAGCTCCCATCCTGGTATGACATAACAGGAATACAATTTACTAGGCAATTTTGGTTTTAGTAAAGTAAATTTATGTTTAAAAATGCTTTTGGTAATCATTTCCCAAAATACAACTTTTGGGGAAAGTATCAGAAGAAAGCATACTAAGGGGACCAGCACTATGGTACAGCAGGCTAAGCCTGTGCAAGCAGCAGCAGCATCCCATATGCGTGCCAGGCTGTGTCCCAGCTGCTCCACTTCTGCTCCAGCTCCATGCTTATGGCCTGGAAAGCAATGGAGTATACCTCTTCAAGTTCTTGGGCCCCTGCACTCACATAAAAGAGACCCAGAAAAAGTTCCTGTCTCTGGTCAACACAGACCTGGCCACGGAGGCCATTTGGGGATGGAAGATTCTCTTTCTCTGTAAATCTATGTTTCATATAAAAATAAAATCTTAAAAACAAAAACAAAAACAAAGGCCCAGCATAGTGGGACAGGCATCACTGCCTTGCTTGGGACATATGCATATCCTGTATCAGAGGGCCAAGTTGAAGTACCAGCTGAATATCTAGTTCCACTCATTTCAATGTGACTGATATTTATACTGGGAGACAGCATGCGGTCCCTATTCGCCACAGGGAAAACCTAGTTCCTAGATTGCCCTGGTCCAGTCCTGACTGTTGCAATCATCTTAGGAGTGGACCAGCAAACTGCTCTCTTTAATCTGTATCTTCTCCCTGCCTTTCAAGTAGTAATAACAACAATGCTTTAGGGCCCAGCACAATGGCTCAATTGGTTAATTCTCTGCTTTTAGAAAGTGGCTGCTCCACTTCACATCCAGTCCCTGCCTATGGCCTGGGAAAGCAGCAGAGGATGGCCCAAAGCCTTGGGGATCTGGAAGAGGTTCCTGGCTTCAGATTGGCTCAGCTACGGCCACTGCAGCCATTTGGGGAGTGAACAAGAAAATGGAAAATCTTTCTCTCTGTGTCTCCTTCTCTTTGTAAATCTGCCTTTCCATGAAAAATAAATAAATCTTTTTTAAAAAATTGTCATTAACTTTTGTATATATATAATAGAAATCATGATACATTTGAAACTCCATTTAACTAAAAATTACATATGAATATGATTGAGTTTAGGTTATAGAACTTACTGTAATCTTTTCTGAACTTCAATTTCATTGTCTTAAAGATGAGACAATTGTACTAAAGTGTGTCTCAATTCAAATGATACTATGTAGATTTAAAATACCTAGATATTTTCAACAGGCTTCTGGAAATAATGAGACTAAAACATATGAGAAGCAATGACCAAAAGGAAGAGGACACAGCTAGTGGAAAGAAAACCTGAAATTCTGTATTAGGAGAACTCTAAGATTTCCAGTTAGAATATTTTATGTCCTAGCAGCAAGAAAACACCATATATAGTTCATTATTATTTTTCCCACTGAAACTGGGAATAGCCAGGGCCTCAATGGGAGCACTAGCTCATTACATGACTCAGGATCTCCAATCTTTAGACATAACTAGAGAAACAACACAGCTTATACTTGTATAATTTATTTTGTAGAAAACTTATTTTTCAAAGGTACTATTGCCACAAGTATCTCATCATGCTCACAAAAAATTACTGATCAGTATGCTATGCTGGACTTTCTAAATAAAATTTTAGAGAATTCTTTCTTCCACAGGTGGGTGGTGATAGCAATATGTCCCTCTATGCATATTTACAAAAATGTACACACACAAATCCAGGAATTGCACGAGTAGTTCTACTTCTATCCAGAGTTACCCTGAAATTAATATCCAATGTAACTGCTCTGCAGTGATTAACCATGTGACCTTCAACACAGACACTGGATTCACTGACAATCTCAACGCTTCAGTTTTCTTATCTGTAAAACGGAGACTATGAAACTCATTAGGTAACATGTACAGCAGACACAATGCACCCTTTGGTAATTCAAACTAACCTGTTCTTTACCACAACCAAGTCCCATCACGAATTAAAGTCCAAACTTTCTATGGTAAATCCCTATCCAGCACCCCTTTATAGAAAGCAGTTATTCCAAATGAAGCAATTCTATATTCAAATACTAACAAAAACGTTTGTGTACAGTCCCTAATTAAAAAAAAAAAAATGAAATACAGGTACATCTAGAGTAACCAAAGCCTATAATCCATAATTATCTTTGAGTGACAGAAATGTTCTCTTCCCCTTGTTCATCTATAGTTCCTAATTTTTCTATAAAACATAGGCTAGCTTCATACTGAGTTATTTTATTAAGCTGATTCAAAAGCAAATAAAATCAAATAATCTTATGAAACTGAAAATAAAATAAATCAGCACTTAACAAAGTTACTGACTACGTTTATACACCTATTGGAAGAGGAACAATCAATAACACGAAATGCACATTACAATACACTTTGTGAATTGGATTTTTTTCTCGAGCTTTAACGCTTGGCATGCTTTCTCACTTTCAACTTAATTAGTTTCTTTGTAAGCCCCTTTTGTGTTTCCAAAGTTGTCAAGAAAAAATTACCGATAAGACTTCTATAATCTCTTAACCTCGAATTTCTCTTCTCTTGCTCCTCACTGACAGATTTCCACTGCAGTTTCATCCTGAAGTATTCATCACTATAGAAAACAATTTTATGCCAAAAATGTTATTTAAAAACTTTGCAGAAAATCCAATTAAAGGTGTGCCAAAAACAACCAGTATATCAAAACATTTACGATGCAAGTGGGGTATAAGTTTATACACATGGCAATGAATTGTTTAAGGTTATGACAAATGTGTGAAAACGAAGAAAAAAAAACCTATGCTGTCACAAAGTTTATGTGACAATTATTATGTGATAATTATTTCAGGTATGCTTTTAAGGAAAGTGTCTGAATCCTTAAAATCAATCTAAAACAATGTCACTAAATATTTTAAAGATAAGCAGTTCTTAATAATTATAACTATGAATCTAAATGACATTCTAAACAAAATGTGGCATAAGTTTCACTGTCCAGTTTATAGCAGAAACATGTTAATGTGAAAATATCTTAAGACAGGAATTTTCATTGAACTGAAACATGCACATGATTGAAGGTAACTTTAAATCTGAAGCAGATGAACAACTAAAAACAAAAAGTAAGCTAATCAATTTACATTACTACATCACTGTAAAGGCAATTTACCTGCACAGCAAATACTTGACTGTCAACTTTATAATTTCCTAATAAATTAGAAAACTGAATCCAGATGCAATATATTTCAAAATACAGGTCTACTGAGCTATCTTTCAAGTAACAAAAATCTTACATAAACTTAGCACAAAGAGAATGGAATTTTTTCCCCCACTTTTTACACATCCACTAACTCAACTACAATGACTGTTCCTTTTAATAAAAGTGGTTCTGTTTTGAGATAAATACAATGGCTATAATTTTAAAATTAAAACAATGAAATTATTTTACAATTCCCTAGTCTATTCCAAGTTCTCAGCTGAAGCCATATTCAGGTTTATATGGGTAGATAACCTGTGTTTCTTTGAACACATAAAACACAATGAACTTACGTTTTCTGTTTTTGTAACTGAGCTCTTTCTTCCTTGGTACTGTCCCAAGGAAAATAACCCAGAAGAAACTTCCATGCTTGTTTTCTCAACGCGTGACTAAGTCCCTGAAGAAAACACATATTTGACACATTAGTAAAAAATAAATGCAATACAGTTCACAAAATTTATATATTAACAACAAAAAAACTAATATTTAAGAGGTGTTTCATACATCAAAATTGTCTGACCCAGCAAATAACATGCTTTTATTTCCAGAATGAAAACATAGGCAGTTGCCAGAAAGCTTAAAGAAAGTATACAGTGATTGCAGAACAGATGGGCAGTGGGATTAAGGAGTCTTGTTAAGCCCAACAGCACTGATAAATATCTCCTTCTCATACCCCTCAGAACTTCCTCTAGAGTGTCTTGCCCTACAGCTAAGTGTTTCTCCATCTCCAACTAATAGGCACATTGTAAACATTCTCTGTCCTGTTCAATACAGGAATTTTAAAGTATCATTCACCAGGAGCAGGCGCCATGGCTCAAATGGCTAATCTACCTGAAAACGCCAGCATCCTGTATGGGAATCAGGCTGTGTCCTGGCTGCTCCACTGCCCATCCAGCTCCCTGCTTGTGGCCTGGGAAAATAGTAAAGGATGGCCCAAAGCCTTGGGACCCTGCACCTGCGTGTGGGAGACCTAGAGGAAGTTCCTGGCTCCTGGCTTCGGGTTGGCTCCATTCCAGCCATTGCTGCCACTAGGGGACTGAACTAGCAGATGGAAGATCTTTCTCTCTGTTTCTCCTTCTCTCTGTAAATCTACCTTCCCAAGAAAAGTAAATAAATCTCAAAACAAAAAGTATCTTTCATCAAAAAAAAAAAGCCCAGACACGTATCCCTCTCCTAAAAAACTTAACACCTTACTGCTTCTTGGCTTTCAGCTAGCTAAGATCAAGTGTAAAAACCATAACATCTGAATGAATACTGGCATTTCATAATATAATCCACATTAGATTCTAAAAATCTTAACAGCTTATTGCTTCCTGGCAAACATTAGATTGTTTGAATTACCCCTCTAAATATCATCTGCTTCATATTATCCACGTTTAAAATTCTTCCTTCAGAATCAACATTCTTAGTCCATTCTTCCAGTGACACTGGCTCTCTCCTTTGAACAACAGGTCGTTCTCCCAAATCAATCTAAAATAAGATAAAGAATAACCAGTATACCTTTAATCAGTGAAATGCAATCAAAGTATACAAAAACTAAATCTTAAACACTACCTTTGAGACATAAGTTCTAATGCTAACATCTTCATCTTCTAGTGTTTAAAATCTACAAGTTATCAACAAAAACAAGTACCTCCTGTTCTACCAAAAGTAAAAATGAGCTACAAATACAGAGGTAGGATATCTCACAGACTAAAAACATTCTGTATTTTAAAATAAATGTTCCTTGCTATTTAGGGCCTTGATTTTGTAAGTACAAAACATTCAATGTGTAAATTTTCTAAGAAACTTTAAGCCAAATTGTATGCAGTAGTATTTCTAAAAATAACATATAACTAGTCTATTTATCATCTTCAAAAATTAGCTTTTCTTCTAAGCTAGTTTATTCAATATTATTCTCAGAACTGATTCATGACCTGTTAGTTTTACTTGACAGTTTCCTAAGGTTTTCATTCAATTAACAGATGTTAGCAATTTAAAAATATTATTTGCAAGATAAGCCCTTTAATTAAGTACTACAAGTTAGATATAATTCTCCAGCAAAGTACGCGTGAAGGACTGTAGCAAATTCAGAAGTTTTGCTGATCATTAAAATGTGTTAAAAATCAAGGCCAAATCCTGCCTTACTTAAAGAGAGTTCACACAAACTCAAAACCCTTAAATCATCACCAGAACAGCTGCTCCTAAAACCTACTGGAAAAAAAAAAAGAAAAATAAGAAACAGGACAAAGAAATAACAAACAAAGGTTTCCACTCATATTCACTCTTAGGTACTCCATTCACTATTATCAAAAAGCCCAAAGAATAAAGACACATTAACAAAGTACAAGATAGAGAGAAAAATCAGTAATTTGGTAGCAAGACACACATTAATTGTCAGATACAAATTTAGTAAAATTAGTCAGCAAAATGCTCTATGAATGGATTATGAGAAAGAGTCAGATATTGCCAAATTGAGTTTTGATTTCTATAACATTCGGTACACATTCTCCCATTAAAATGGAATACTACACTAACACAAATAAATAAATAAATCTCCACTCACTCTTGTGATGACTTCAAATCCTGGTTCTTCTTGTTGATTTATCTTTAGACCTGGAATTGCATCACTCAGAAAATCTGCCATTTCTGAAGGTGGTCGTTGATGTGTAGAGGGATCGCTGCCTCTCAAGCTATCAAAAATGTAGTTTGTGACTTTGGAAAATCCTACCATGGTTGCTGTATAAGGATCCTTTTTAATTTTCTATGTTTGTAGGAAGAAAAACTTAGCATTATTAACTCAAAAACACCCCACGATGAATAAAAAAGCAGAAGGAAAAAATTTAAGAGCAAAGAAATCAGAGCTAAAGCAGGATGTTCTAAAGATTATCCTTATATTTATTTTCTAGAAAGAAAAATTTAAATTTTCTAAGTTAACTTTCCCATTTGGTTAAGACAGCACAAGTGACAAGTTCATGCTATTGATTAAACTGCTGATAAATGATTTTCAGCATTTGTTCAATCTGCATATATCAGAAACATATGCAGTGCTTACTTTCAAATGGTGAATGGCCCACAACAGCTTTCTTCTGTCTAGCAGTCCTGTCTTCACACATACAAAAAAAATAGCTCTTGAAAAGTTGCACCACCATTCTAGGCTAACACAAGATACTACATAGCCAAATTTAAAAGTTTATAATATTTAAATATTAGTTGGCATTTGAATCTAACTACTTTATTAGTAAATCATGCCAATCAGAATAATTTGTTCTAGAATAGTACTGTCCTGGGAAAAAGCAAGACTTTTTTCTACTGTTAAGACCTAAGGTGTCTTCTAACTCCTTACAATTCACATTCAGCAAAAATGGTTATTTATTACAGAGCTGATTGTTTTTAAAATCAGAAAAAAAAAATTTTCCCTCACATTTTAAACAGTGTTTAGTTCTCTAGTAGTCCTCCTTTCTAAAATATTCCCTCTTTATGTTGGTAATATTCCCATCTTCAAATCCAAGAGCAGCTGGGACACTGTAATCACTCAGACGTTCAATAAATGAGTGGAAAACAATCATCTCATTAACTTACATGACAATCTGAGTGAACTTGTACTTGTGTTTAGCCTACTTATTTTAGCAAAATGCAAGAATAAATTCGAATATTTTCAGGGGAATCAGATTATCAGGTCCCCCACACAATCAACTTAATTGAAAAAGATTCAAACCAGATTTCTTTCCAAACTGATTTCAAACTGACAGCAGATTACCTGTGACATTTCACCTAATCACACAAAGCCATGAAAAAAAAATCTACCTGATGCAACTTCAGTGTATGATAAAGAGAAAATTGCCCCAACAAAAAATCAGTTCTTAAAAAAAATCAGTTCTAACTCCCACAAACAATATGGAATAAGGCATTATTTTTATAAATAACACACACACTCTTTCTAATTCCATGTTCTCTTTGAAAATTAGAGGTAGAGAGTATATAAAATAACAGAGTTACATGACAATTTAATCATTAGAAACATACTTGTATTAAACCATATGCTGGTTCATCAAGAAGATTTTCAAAAGACTGTGAAAGACTCTTATTTTGACAATTCACAAGAAGTATTCGTTTATCCTGTGGAGAGCTGTAACAAAAGGAGCAGAGTGGATTTGTAGAAAATACCAGCACACTGTACCATACACTATAGGAACAATTACTAATGCAGTTACTTTTCTTTCTTGATTTTTTTGATTTATTTATTTTTATTGGAAAGGCAAATATACAGATAGGAGGAGAGACAGAGAGGAAGGTCTTCCGTCCGATGATTCATTCCCCAAGCAGCCGCAACGGCCAGTGCTGCGCTGATCCGAAGCCAGGAGCCAGGAGCTAGGACATAGGAGCTAGGAGCTCTTCCGGGTCTCCCACAGGGGGGGAGGGTCCCAAAGCCTTGGGCCGTCCTCAACTGCTTTCTCAGGCCACAAGCAGGGAGCTGGATGGGAAGTGGAGCTGCCAAGATTAGAATCGGCGTCCATATGGGATCCCAGTGCGTTCGAGGCAAGGACTTAAACCACTATGATATCACATCGGGCCCTGCAGTTATTTTTCTAACAAAAGAAATTCAAGTGTCTGGATCTAAAAGTTTCCCAATAATACAATATTAGCAAAGTGCTTAACTAACTTACAGTTTCAAATCCACATGAAACATGAAATAATATGTTTTATATATCAAATATCAAACACGAAATATATTTTTATTGTAGGTTGAGCAAAGAGTCAGAAATTGTAATGAACTCAGATTCTTGTTTGGATTTGCAATAGAAAACCTTGTAATACCTCTGCCTTCACTAGAGTAAAAATTAAAGCCAAAACATACTTCAATATTCATCAGTATTTAGTATATATTATGTAAGAAAGTATGCCTTCTTTTGAATGGTTTCCAACTTCATTCCACAACTTGGTTAGAAGGTATATATACCAATAATAATATATATATACCAATGTCAGATAAAAAGATACAAAAGAGTTATTTGGTAAAAGCCAACCTAACCACACTTACAAATTTAATTAGATTATGGTACAATTCAGATAGTCACGTTTTTAATTCATAACTAAGCTCCAAAAAGCTCCAAAAGTCTGTCCCCACACCTCTTCGTAACTACAGAAAACATAAAATGCTTTCCAAATAAATGTCTAATTTTAAGTAACCAAATTATCTGGATTTCCTTTCATGAGATAACTTCATAACTTAGTAATTCAGCTGTAATAAATTTATTACTCTTCTTGTTGAAATAAAAATTAATGTTATTTTGGTGCTACATACCTCTAGTTTATTACAAATGATCAAGATAAAATCTTTAATAACAGTTATCTCTACTCAACTCTACCCAACAGGACGCAACAGTAACACCAGAGGGGATATGAAATCCAAAACGGGATCTCACTCCTACAGCCAGAAACAACACTCTTCCCAGGGACAATCACAGCTAATAAACCCCTTGGCTTTCAGCAGAGGTTGAGTCACTGCATGTAGGCAAAAGTTCCATTTTTATTAAACTTGTTCTTCTGAACTTCTGGGATGATGGTGTTTAAAATGAAGACCTGCAGGTTCTCACAATGCTTTAAATTAAGTCCATTTACTTCTTTAAAATCCAAACAGTGATCGTGACATCAACATAAGTGCCTAAAGCACGTAGGACAAAACAAACATGCAACCTTCAGCTACTTGAGTTGACATGATTCTACAGTTCCACAAAAACACAGGGACCACCAAACAGGACAGGAAGAAATTAACTCCCTCACCAACATAAGGTACAAACACTCTAAAAAGCAAATACTAGTTTTTTATAATCAACACCAATAGTCTATACTAACAAACACCAATAGTCTAAACTAACAAACCCAAATAAAAGATACACTCACAAAGAAACTGTTAAATATATCTTGACAATAGAACTCTAGACTTCCCACTCTGTTTCTACCTACAATGTCATGACACACTTAATTAGAGAATGATGGACTGGTGACTGTTGCTGAAGGACTAGACTACTGCAATAATAAGGGGAAAACAGTGGGGGGAGGGCAAATGGGGAGGCCAGGAGGGGGAAATCCCTGAGCCTATGGAACAGTATCATGAAAAATAAAAAGTAAAAAAAAAAAAAAAAGTTACAGAATATACGGAATAAAATTTTATTAGGATCTAATTTTGTAAATTGGTGATGCTATAGGATGACACAATGAATTTGGTTTTTGCAGGCAGAATGCATTACTATTTGTAGATAAATAGATAGAAACACAGATAGAAATACAGAAGGGGAAAACAGCCCAAAATACTAAATAATTTAAAGGAATCAATATGCCTTATTCATTTCCTAGCAAGAAGCTTAGTTAGGCAAATGTATTTTCTGTTTCTTTGTTTGTTTGTTGCACTATACTTTTATTTGAGAGAAAGAGATTAGAAAGCAAGACTGAGAGCTCTCCTCTGCTAATTCACCCCCCAAATAGGGTTGGGGGACACAGCCAGGAACTTAACCAGGTCTTCTGTGCGCCTGGCAGGAGCTCAACTACTTGAGCATCAGCTTCCCAGAGTGTACATTAATAGAAACCTGGAATCGGGAATTAGAGCCAGGTATCAACGCGGGTACCTGCTTAACCAACACACCAACAGCCTGACCCTGTGGCTCATTCTTTCATCCAAGTAACTATCATGTTTTAAGTGATAAGTCAAGGAACACTAAGAAATATCAACACACACGGCAATTCATTTTCTTGGTAAGAAAATCATCTGAGAACCCCTCAAGAATCTGGCTTATGTTGCACCATCTGAGCCGCTTAGTGAGGCTGACGGAAGCAACAACGCACAGCCAGCACAGCCTCTCTCTGGCCTTTACAATGCTACCCAGCCACCCAGATATCACTCACAATGGAGACTCAGCCACATGGTCAGTTCCTGCTGCCATAAAAAAACCCACTCTTAGTGAAGGGAAAGCAATTCATCAGGAGATTCATTTGGAGGGCAACATGATCATACATGTCACCCACATTCTTAACTTTAACTTCCTCAAAAAAGGCAGGGAGGGATTTCTGGTCTAATACTCTAGGTATCTAATATCTCAGAAGAAAGAGATCATGGGCACAGACTGTCTGGCATTCCAGTAATATTATTGACAATAAGGCTTTCCCTGATGGGTGTGTGTGTGCGTGTGTGTGTTAAACTGATAATTAGCTGTCAAACTGATAAACTTATTCTTTCACCTTCTTTTCATGCATCTATCATGCACCAGGCACCATGGCTAGAAACAGGAGAGAAAAAAAATGAGACTGGTGTAATCTTTTCCACTCCAGAGTAGAACATAAAAGCAGTAACCAGGCAACAGTTTGTTTTTCTATTAAATGCCATCAAGAAAATGAGAGAAAGAATACAGGTAGGAACCGAGAGTAGATGGGAAAGAAGACAGCTGGGGAAGCCTCTCTGATGTTATATTAAACAGGTAATTAGGGAATTTGAGAAGAACGTTCCAGGCAGATAAGACAATATACATAAAGTGCCTTGACATAAAGAATGTCAAGGGTTTTAAGAACTTAAAAAACAAAACAAACAAACAAACAAACAAAAAACATGTGGCTAGAAGAGAATAGCACAAAATGAGTTACAAGAAATAGCAGCTCTCATTGCCCATAGGAAGGAACTAGAATTTTACCTGATCATGTACTGAGACTCACAGCTTTCAAATTTTTTTTATAATTACTGTGAATTGTTCTCATTACACTGGTTATCTCTTCAATGCAATACAAATCATATAATGTATTGAAAGTCCACTGCTAAAAACTAAGCACTTGTCCAAAGTATGATGTCAGTTAAGAATACAGAGTGGCCAACCTCATTGTGTAATGAGTAACACTGCAGGCTATATGGCCAACATCCCATACGGGCACATATTCATGTCCTGGCTGCTGAGGTTACAATCCAGCTCCGCCCTGTTGGTCTGAGAAAAGCAGTGCAAGACAGTCCAAGTGTTTGAGCTCCTGCAACCCACATTGAAGATCTGCATGAAACTCCTGGGTCTGCCCTGGGCCCACGGCCACTGTAGCTATCTGGAGAGCCAGTGACAAGAAGATCTGTCTCTCCCTCTCTTGACTTTCAAATGAATAAATAAAGGAAAGGAAACGAAAGGGAAAGGAAGGGAAGATGAAGGGAGAGAAGGGAAAGAAAAATGAAGAAAAAAAAAGAGAAAGGACAAAAAAGAAGAAAGGAAAGACGAAAAAAGAGGGAAAGAGAGAAAGAAAAAAAATGAGGAAAAAAAAGAAAGGAAACAAGGAAATAAATAAATACTGCAACTACCTACCATACTTCCCTCATCTTTGATCTCATGCTTTAATCAATACTCTTGGAGCCAGCATGACAGCTCAACTGGCTACCCTCCACTTGTAAACATTGGCATCCCATAGGATTGCCAGTTCTTGTCACAGCTGCTACACTTACCATTTAGTTCCCTGCTTTACGGCCTGGGAAGGCAATGGAGGATGGCTCACAGCCATAGCATCCTGCACCCACATGGGAGACTGGAGGAAGCTCCCGGCATCGATCTGGCTAAGCTCTGGCCACTCTGGCCAACTTGGAAGGGAACCAGAAGATGGAAGATCTCTGTTTCTCCTCTCTCTATAAATCTGTCCTTGCAATAAAAATAAGTAATTACAAAAAAAAAGTTCAAATGAGTTCTGTCTTCAGTCAGAACCGCCTTCTTTCTCAGCTCTTGAGTTTCAATTGCATATACTTCCTGGTATTCCTCAAAATTAATTTCTCAGGGATTAGAAGCATACCTCATTTGTTCACTACTGAGTATCTTGCAACCAACTGAGTACTTAGGATGTGAAGATATCCAAAAATATTTGTTTACAGTTAACATTGAGTGTGGGTGTTCAGAGTCACATGGGTACATAAACGTAAGACAAGATTTAGGGAAATGAGGAGGCCCTGTCTTCCAACATGTAAGTAAATCTGTGGAGAACTGGAACTTGCCTGCCCTAAATTTCAACAATACGCATAACCGCAAAGTTTAAAAGAAAATAACAACATAGGAAAGACAGATTAGTAAATACAACATCTGTAAGTCACAGATGCATCACATTTAAACATAAAAACATGAGAATATTCTCTTTAAAATAAAAGTGGCAACATTTCAAATTCAAATTGCTAAGATGGCAACTGCTATTGTTTATTCAGCAATTGATCAGAACAAGTCAATCTCCCAGCAAAACCAAAGCTGCTTGTACCCTCACAAGCACACAGGTCACTGATGCTCAAAGAGAAGTTTGCCTTAACACAATCCAGTTTCAATATGCAGAAAATAACTTGATACTTACTCACATAACATCACATATTTCTCAAGAGACTCAATCAGTAGCTTGCTTTCTCCTTGATGAAAGTGCAGAGCAGGCAGAACGACGTCGTCCTTTAGACAGAATACCAAATAGGACCAGCCCATACCCTCTCTGTTCTGCTTGATTGACTTCAGGTCTGTCAAACTGAACTGGAATGACCATTTGCTTTTCCCATTTCTATGACTTGAAGCATCTTAAAAACAAGAAGTTGGGCAAAATATTGTTTTTCACCTTTTTACAAGGTACTGAGAGTATCTTCATGCCTACATAATAAACCATGTTGAACCCAGAGAAGCCCTATGGCCTTCATATTATTAAGGCACCCATATGTATCAGAAATAGCAACATGCATTTTGTTACAAATAGTTAAACACTATTCTCCCATATTCAAACTCAAAAAATATTACCGTTTTAAGTTTTCCCAAAAATGAACGTGACTTTACAAGGAAACCCACTGCATTCAACTTGCAGCACTACCACTTTACTAACAAAATGATCTGGAGTGAACAGTGAAATCAGCCTCTTGTTTCATCTGTAAAAATGGAAACAATGAAACTTACCTCCAAATGCTAGCCTGAGAATTAAGAGACAACAGCTGTCAACTAACACAGGCCAAGTTACAGCAAATAATTAAAAACATTCATCTTCCCCACCCTCCACAAATGAAAACAGCATAATTCTTTTGGGGAGTCATTGAGAAAAAAAATCTTCCATTTCTTCACTTTCGTAATTATCTTTAGGAGATTATATTTATAATAAAGATAAGCACATTTGTACTAAAAACTGGAGTGACTGACAAATATTTTGTTTTAAAAAAAACAAAGGACAAGGTAAAATTAACAATGAAAATATAACTAAGTCATAAATTTTTCAAAAATAATAAACATTTAAAATTATGGCAAAATTAACATTTACAACATGAAGACCTCAATCCAAACAACAAGTTACTTAAAATGCAACATTTTCAGAGTTTCTGGCATGTTTATAGAAGTCAAATTCCTAGGTTCATGATCACTATCATATGTATTGACAAACAAAGCTTAACTATTTAGATAAAAATATCTTTATAAAAAGAAAATGTCACCTATTCTTACTAATGATACTAACACTTATAATTTCTAATTAAATGTCACCTATTTCAATAATTTAACCTATTTCACTTAACTCATGTCCCTAAAATCATCAAAGTTATTTTGTAAGAAGTGTCATATTTTCTATTATTTAAGGTCTTTAATTATATCCCATATTATCAATTCTACAAAGAAAAATTAAGACAGTTGCTTATACAATGTGATCAAAATACAATTTCGCATGACCTGCATGTATGTCACCTTCACGTGCGGTCAGGAACTGGATAGCTCCAAGGCTCTACAACCTGCAGCTCACAGACCTCTATCTCCAGAGAATACCAGCAGCATCACTTTTCAGAGACACTTTAACAAGTATCTCTTGAAAAAGTCTTGGAATGGCTGCAGCAATTTATCTTTAGACACTGACTTGCCTTAAGGCTGGTACTAAATTAATTACCATGTGCTCACTGAACTACTTTAAACAATGTTTCACTGTCTTCATAGCACCACTAACTTCAAGCTGATAGCAAACTGAGAACTTTTCAAAAATTCCAACCTATCCACGAATCATTTTAAGTGTGAATGCACCTGGATTACACATACTATTAGCTCATTTGCAAAGGACAAAAATACTTTCATAGAACAAAAAAACAATAAAACGTTCTATACTAAATTCCTCAACTATACAAATAGCATTTATATTAATACAAAACAAAATCATACACAGAAAATTAAATCACCTGTGAACTATATGAATGATGCAGAATTTGTGCGCTTTCAAGAGCAAATGCTTTACATAAATTTCCCTTTTTAACAGAACAGACATGTTAAACACTATATATAAAAGAAAATGCCTCAGGTACTTCCTCTCTTAGAGCTCAAAGAAACAACACAAGTCAATTCCACAGGTCCTTCCACTAGAATACAAGCTTCACCAGAACAGGAATACTCTGTTCGCAGACATATCCTAGTAGCTAACTACCAGAAAGTATATAAGGATGTGCTGAAGAAATGCATTAATAACCACAACTGGAATTTGCAAATTAGCTGGGAAGTAACACCTAATCAGAAATAGACCTAGTTACAAAGGAAAATGAAACAAAGCCAAGAGTTAACTCAATTTTTTTTCTTCCTAAGGAAAAGACAAGTAAAATTAGTTCTAATAAATCATGTTACCAAATAAATGCAAAAAAAAAAAAAAAAAATCTCCACACCACATTCACAAGGAAAAGACACGTAGAGAAGCAGTCCAGAAAATACCTATGTATCTTAACCAGAATTAACATTAGGAAAAATTTGGATAAATTTCTAAAATACAACAATGATCTATTGTTCCGGGGAGAAAACAAAAAATTTAATAATATACGCCATTATGAAAAATAAAAAAGTGTGATGCTAAAAATGTCTGATACTGACATAAATTTGAAACCTTTGAAATGTTTAAGTTAATGAATTAATCCCAAGCTGTCAAGCTTAGTAAATGCCTCCTTATGTCTTAATAATTATCAAGTAAAGCTACTCTCATGTAAAACAACATAAACAATATTTACATTTGTGGTTTTTTTCTCTAAGCTACACAGAAGTTCTCAACTCTGATCCTACACTAAAACTACCTAAATACTTTCTGGAAAACAGAGATACAAAGGCTCCACTTTCAAGCCGTGATTTGGGGTGGGGGCTACTGTTGTTATTGTTGCTTAAACCTAACCTTCCCAGGTAATTTCCATGTATACAGAGGGCTGAGAAGCATGAATCTAAAGAAATCTTGTCAGATTATGCTTTTCATTTTCACAAATGCTTCTTTCCTACATAAAATTTTGAAAGCTCACCCCCCTTCATGCATTTCTATGGCCTCTCATCTTTAAGGATTTGATAGTAAACAAGAAATAACAAGTATAATTCACATAAAACAATCTTAAATATTTAGTCCAGCAAACTCAAAAACCACCTCACAAGCCGCACAAAATAAAATATTGCAGTTTTCATTTTCTTTTAACAGTCTGAATCCTGTTTCTGAGAAGATCTTGCCTTGTAACAGAAATGGCATGTGTACTCACACGTGCACGCACACACACACATATACATGCACATGTATGGACTCATCCATATCAACAACTAACAGATTACTGACTTCTTCGGTGTCAGTGTTTACTAGAAACGACAAGGTATAAACCATTGTAAATGAGAATGATTCTCCAGGCCATACATGAAAACTAATTTTACTTTTGGTAATGTTATCTGTATAAATACAGTAAATACATGCTCATTTAAGTTTTGGCCAATCTTGTGAATTAGTAAACATGAGTAATTCATAATTCAGGCCAAAACAATTAAGACAGAAAATACATTTTACAATAAAAATACAAAGGAAGAAATAAAAATTAACATTTTAAGTATGTAAATTTCAATATTTAGCGAAATCTCACATTAGGATGGTCAGATCATAGAACTACTAGCTGGATCATTTGGTGTTAATATGAGTTTCACATTATATGAGCTGTATCTCTTATATGGACTAGCATCCACAATAATATCAGAGCCGTTAGCTCCGTTCTTTCTTATTAATTACATGTAGATAAGCATCATATGGAAAATGCAATGTAAATACTGGAAAAGAGAGTAGTCACCTAGCACATTTAAGAGGGCTGAATGCAAGGGATTGTGAACATTCCGAGGACAAAAACTTAAGAACGGCACAGTTTAATAATACACACCATTTCCCCTGTGCCTTAAGGTGAAATGACATGATTTTTAAAAATCCTAGATTGAGAAAAATATGAGTTATACAAGTTAACTGAAGCAACAAGTCAACCTTCTGATGGAAGAACATTAAACAATTTTCTTCCCACTTTACTTTATTAGTATATTATAGCAAATCAATTTGGGATTTAAGATTCAGTTCATACCTCCATTGGTATGTGGTTTCTTTTTAAATGAAACTGTATTAACCATGTCCCACTCTGCCTCGTAGCTGTTCAGATGTTCTGCTCCTCGATGGGCTCTTTCTTTGGGGGCCTGGGTCCATTCCACAACAGAACTGGAGTCCTAAAGCAATGACAACAAATAAATATTTAAAATCCACAACTGGAATTTCTATTCTAATCTATGATATTTCCACTATTTATACAATACTGAACAAGCAGACACTATTTCCTATCCTCATATTTAAGGGGGAAAAAAATCTTACCCAGACTTCCCTGTGAGAAAAGGTTGCTAAAAAATACATAAGCTCCAGGTTTCAGGAAATGCATGGCCTTTCATGATAAGAGCTTTCTCTCTTCTCCTCTTCATACTGCTGTGAACGTCACCATGACATCTAAAAAGCTATGATATCCATAGTGTGGCAAAAGAACTACTACAAAAAATTCCCATCCAATACACTCAGTTATTTGAGAAAAAAAACTGTGTTTTCCTATAGGCAATCAAAACGAACTAAAGCAATGTGTCTACATGTAATTCTACAGAACTTTCTATTTCAAAAGAAAATCAGAAATTTTAAATGCAGTATTATTGATCAAATAAAACATTTAACTTCTAAACAAAACAGACACCCTAAAGCTAAAGATTAATAAGACTGGGATAAAAGGCTTTTAAAACAAAATCCTGGACCGGCACTGAGGCAAAGTGGGCTAAGTCTGCATTGGAAACATTCCATATGGGAGCTGGTTTGTATCCTAGTTGCTCTGCTTTTGATCAAGCTCTGTGTTTATGCACTGGGGAAGCCCCGGAGGATAGTTCAAGTCCTTGGGTCGCTGCGCCTACATGGGAGACCCAGAGGCTCCTGGCTCCTGGCTTACAATCAGCTCAGCTCCTGCCTTTGTTGTCACTAGGGAGTGAACCAGTCGATGGAAAATCTCCTTCTCTGTCTCTCCTCCTCTCTGTAAATCTGCTTTTTAAATAGAAAGTAAAATAAATCTTTTTAAAAAGCAAAAAAGATTAAAAACAAAAGAAAAACATCCAAACCAATTCATAGCAATTTAATTTGAAGTATATTAATATCAGAACAGAAAAACATGTCAACAGCATGAATAGATATGTCCAAAAAAAAAAAGAAACCCAAGGTACCAAACACATAGGAAGATGTCCAATGTCAGTAACAATCAAAGAAAAGTAAGTTAAGAGGTCTAGTTTTTTTTTACTCCATTTAATTTTTAAAAAGACACTATCACAGATGGAAGATAGCAGGAGAAAATACCTCTCATTAATGACAAAGATTCTCAACAGCACCAACCCCAGAAGGTGCGATTAGCCACATTTATTAGAATACATATGTGGCTAACCACACAACTCTTTACATCATCTAGAAAAAGCCACATACGTACAAAACAGGCACATACAATCACTTACATTGCAGCACTGTTTTTATAGTAAAAACCTGAAGATATTCTAACACCTAGCAAAGGGACACACGAGTAAATAAACTGAGGGATAATGAAGGAAATACTAGACAATAATCTTAAGAATGATACATGTTGAAATGTACATATAATCATGTGTCATTCAACATTTTTGGTGAGTAATGGAAAATATCTATTACAACGGTGGTCCCAAAACATTATGAGAACTGAAAATTGCCTCTACCTAGGTGAGCTTGCAGTCTCATAAATCCACAGTGCAACACGTTACTCACATGTCTACACTAATGCTGTTAAACAAACCCACCATGCTGCCAGATGTGTAAAACTAAACACACACAGTTCTCCACAATACACAGTACTGGATAATGATAAATGAAACTGTTACTAGTTAGTTATACATTTATGATTGATATACAGTCCTACTTTTAAAAGTTTACTATTAAAGTTACACCAACACACTATACCAGCAACAGCTTTCTATACCACATGTTTGTCATGTCGCTCTTGGATCATGAGGTCACAGCAACTGATATACCTATATATACTCTATGATATCCACACAACAGCCATGTCTCAGAACATGTTTCTGTTATTGATACACAGCCGCACATTCAATACATATTAGTAGACATGGCAAGAGTGGCAAAATAGCACATGGCCAATACAGTATAAACAAAGCAATGAGAAACATGCAGAAGAAAGAGGGCCATTCTATATCCTCAGCAGAGGAACACACTAAACAAGGACAGAAGAAAGAAAGGGTACTGCTCAAGTAGGACTTCCAACTTATTCGAACTTTTAGCAAGAACCTATCTGTATATGTCCCCTGTAAGTTCCACAATAAAGGAAAAAGAAAAATTAATTTAAAAGAGAAAGATAATATAAAGGCATAAGAAAAATTAAGAAGAAACAGGATGCCAAGTTTGTGCGTGCACATCTGTATTGCACATTGGACTACCTTGGTTCAAGTCCTGGTCTGACTCTTTACTCCAGATTCCTGCTAATGGGCAGCCTGAGAAATAGCAGGTGACGGCCCAGGAAGCTGCATCCCTGCCACCCATGTGGAGACCCAACCTGGGTCCATGGCTCCTGTACTCAACCTGGACCAGCTCCAGCCAACACATTTAGGGAATGGGCGTCTGGGGAATGAGTGAGTGATGAGAAATGACTCTCCCAGCACCTGCCTAGGCTAAGAAATCTCAATTCCTCTTTTTCAATTAATTTTTTTAAGAAAACAAGAAATGGAAACAAAAATGTGTGAGGCATACAAATGCTTCAGAAAGTGGAATGTTTCTTTTTCAGGTCCTTTTGCAAATGTTACTACTTGTCCAATGTAACAAAAAGAATCTAGAAAACAAAAAAACACACAATGCCTATCAATTCTAGGACCAGTACTGAGGAAAGCCAAGAAGCATCTGTAATACTACCACTCTGCATAGTACACCCTTTACTCCTCAACTTTAAGACTCAGAATTGGTAGATCCTCCCAACAAGTAGGGAAAGTGTGAAGTATGAAGATCAACCTGAAAACAGGACAACTTCACCAAAGTCCAGAGGAGGAGCATTTTATCCATTACAGAAGGTAACAGAATGCCTGCATCTGTAAAAAACTCAAGCACCATGAGCAAGGGGATAACATACTGACAGGAGAAATAATTCCAGGTCTATGAACACGCCAGGTGAGACTCTCCAGTCTCTCCCTGCACGCAGCACGCAGGCTCACCATTCCAGGCACAAATCTGTCAACTGAAGTGAAACTGAAGGAGCTCACAGAAAAATACTGGGATCTCAATAGTAGAGAGGTCTCAATGAAACAGCTTAGCCAGGCACACTAACATCCAACCATCACCAGGTCTAGTCCCATGTGTGAAGAATATAGTCACTTCCATGCATCTGCTATTAAATATGAAATCCTCACTATGAAAACCACCTGACATCAAAGACCAGTATATACACACAAGACAGAATCCCAACCGAACCCAAAGGGATAGGAATGCTCAGAAGAAGCCGACCACAGGGAGACAAGGACACTGAAAAATCTACTCTGGAACTTCTTGGAAAACAGAGAGCTATTTCTTGAAAGCAAAAAAGAGAAATCCTCAGCACACCAAATGTTTTAGTAAATAAGAAAACAGCACAGAAATGAAAAAGGCAAATACTGGGCATAAACCTGAGAAAATGTCCTATAATATGGTGGGGAGGGGAGTACAGAGAATTAAATAACATTTTAAAATTACAAACCAGTTAAAAAAATCTAAAGAGTTAAAAAAAATGAAAAGAAGGGAAAACAATTACTAACATAAATCAGAAATATTTCCCAGTAACAAAAAAAGCATCAGTTTCCATATTAAAAGAGGCCATCAAATATCCAATACAATGAGTAAAAATTACCAGAAATGCCTGGTACCTGAACATCTAGAACACTAGAAACAAAGTGGCAATCACCAAAGCTTCTACAGCAAGAAAAGAAAAACCACAGGATGAGAGATAAGAATACTTCGGACTTAGGATCAACAAAATAAACTAGCAAATCTGGGGCAGTTTAAGTTCAAAAAAAAAAAGATCTTTCAACTGTAATTCTTCTAAGCTATCAAAGCCAGAAAACAGCTGGAGGAGTCCAACAGAAGGGATGCTTTTGTTCCTGTGCACCTGCTCTCTCAGGAACCACTGTAGTTGCACCTAAGCAAGGGAGTAAGCCAGAATAGAAGGCAGCCCCGTACGGAAGGAAGATTGGGAGAAGCACTGTCTGAGAAAACAAAGTCTAAATGCAGTCTAAACACATACAATCAATGTATGTATTTAAATATTTCAAGCAGCAGCTCAAAATAGATGAGCAAAAACTTCAAGGTGATTTAGAGATATGAGCTAATCCCTATCTTTGCAAAATTCAATACATAACAGAGAGTGATTCAAACAGTCCATGAAGCACTGAAGTTAAAAGTACAAGTATTTTGAGGGGGAAAGTAATTGTTTGGTGCAAAATTTTGCCATAATACATGCAAGTGTATATTAGGGAAAATACATACACAAGTTAATTCATAATTTTAATTCTTTCCATGAACTTCTTGAGATATCTTTCTTCATAAATAATAAATAAATATCCAAAAATCCTCAGAAAGACATTCCTTAAACTTAGAGCTATAAATAACCAAGGAAACAGACACAAAGTCTGACTGTAACTGCCGTAAGAGACAGAACATTGAGGGAAAATGAAGGTGCCTCTGCTTTGCATAATAAGCAGTCTAAAAGTTAAGATAGATCTGTAATTTGGATTAAAATATATTTTATAAATAAAATATTCTACTGAATTTTTTGAAGATAAAAATATATGTGAAAAGAACAAGAAACAAGAAAGAACCGGAAGTATACTCATCCAATAAGCAATGTTTTCATCATACAATAGCCTTCCCTACTCATACTCTCCAGAAAAATTAACTCAAAATGTATCACACATCAACACGCAGGAAGTGAGGCACAAACCGTCCTAGGAGGAGCAGCAGCGCACCTTCCCAACTTGGACTTGGGTGATGGATTCCTGGATATAACACCAAAGGCATAGGCAAAAACAAACAAGACTGAACTTCACTAGAATTTAAGGAACACTTTATTTCAAAAGACACCAATAAGAAAGTGAAAAGACAAACCACAGAATGGGGAAAAAATGGTTTGTAAGGTGTATATTTGATAAGGGACATGTTTCCAGAATTCTTGCAACTCAACAATAAAAAATAATAATAATAGCCAAACTAACAAATGACGGACACCAAGCATTTCTCCAAAGACAGGCAGGCAGCCTGTGACTTACAAAGATGCCTAAAACCATTAACTAAAACCACAAAGACATAACATCCAATTGTGCCGCCAACGTCCTCACAAGAAGTCCTATTTAACAATACCTCGGAATGTGACCTAATTCAGAAATGAGTTTTTACACAGGTTGTCGTATGAAAATGAAGTCACTGAAATGACCCCTCATCCAAAATTTACTGGCATCCTAATGAACATGGATTTATACAGATAAATAAGATGACGACAAAGGGGAAAGGATGCAAAACACGGGGAGAAACAGCACGTACACACTGCAGAAATGTCTAGGGCTCCACGCAGCTGTGAGAGGGGCAAGGAACAGATTCTCCCCCACAGCCCTGAAGAGGAACCAACCTCTGTAACACCACTCGTCCTTTCCAGAAACGTTCAGCACACTGAGAAGTGTTGACTGTTGTGGCGCCTTGTGAAAGCAGCAGGAAACTAACGTAACATACTAAAAGACAGCAAACACTTGGCGATGTGTGGAGAAATTAAAATCCTCATATACCCTCCTAGATTCCTGGTAGAACAGGAACCTGCCGTAGCTACTGTAGATAACAGTGCAACTGTAAGATGCAGCAACTCCACCCCGAGGTACGTGCTCAGGAGAAAAACATACCCACAAAAAACTTGTACTGGAATGTTCATATGAACTTTATATGTCTATAAATGAAAACAACCCAAATCTCCATCAGTTGCCAATGTAAACGCAAATTCTGACAACCAATAAATAAAATGTAATTCTGCACACACACAAACATAAACGAAAGAACCTCAAAATCACTACATAAAGTAAAAGAAGCCAGTCACAAAAGCCACACATTACAAACAGTTCAAATGAAATGACTACAGTAGAAAACTACTAGAAAGTTCATTAATAGTCGCTACAGCTGACTACTAACAGAGTTTCATGATGATGATGGAATGATTCTACAATTAGTTCTTGTTGATGTTACAGAACTCCAGAAATAACACTAAAAGCCACTGAACTTTATACTTAAAAAAGATGAAGTACGTGGCATCATCAAAAGGTATTATTTTGCAAATGGCATTTCCTTAGTCAAATATTTTTCTTAAATACCTTTCTGGCATAGAGAATACTAGAAGAATCCAATGCATCATCCAAGGGTCTCCAGTCCACTATCACTTCAGCATCCTAAGAACAAAACAATGAACTATATTTAGTAATCACCAATATATCACATTCTTAACCACTCTTTATTATTTTTGAAAGATTTATTTTATTTTTATTGGAAAGTCAGATATACAGAGAGGAGAGACAGAGAGGAAAATCTTCCATCTGTTGATTCATTCCCAAAGTGGCTGCAATGGTCAAAGCTGAGCCAATCCAAAGCCAAGAGCACAAAGCTTCTTCCAGGTCTTCACACACGTGCAGGGTCCTAAGGCTGTGGGCCGTCCTCAACTGCTTTGCCAGGCCAAAAGCAGGGAGCTGGATGGGAAATGGGGCTGCGGGGATTAGAACCAGTACCCACATGGGCCTGGAGCAATAGCACAGTGGTCAAAGTCTTCGCCTTGCACAGCCGGGATCCTATACGGTCGTCGGTTCTAACTCCAGCAGCCCTGCTTCCCATCCAGCTCTTGCTTGTGGCCTGGGAAAGCAGTCAAGGACAGCCCAAAGCCTTGGGACCCTGCCCCCACGTAAGAGACCCAGAAGAGCTAGTGGGTCCTGGCTTCGGATTGCCTCAGCTCCAGCCATTGTGGTCGCTTGGGGAGTGAACCATTGGACGGAAGATCTTCCTCTCTGTCTCTCCTCTCTGCATATCTGCCTTTCCAAAAAATAAATAAATAAATCTTAAAAAAAAAAAAAAACGGCACTCACATGGGATCCTGGCACATGCAAGGCAAGGACTTTAGCCACTAGGTTACTGCACCAGTCCCCCACTTGTTTCTTATACCCTGAACCCAAGATCAAATTCTACCTCCTTAGACATTAGCATGTTAACTATACTAACATTACAAACAAACCACTGTTTAACAAATTATATATACTTTTAAGTTTTATCTAATTTTCTTTATTATATAACCTCTACATAATAAAGTATAAAATATTCATATTACACCTTACCTGAAATATTGCATTTCTAATATTATTTCCCTATTAAATTTATAACCACATGTTCAGTTATATCTTTGTTTTAAAAGATTTATTTTTTGTATTGGAAAAGCAGCTATACAGAAGAGAGACAGAGAGGAAGATCTTTCGTCCAATGATTCACTCCCCAAGTGACCACAACGCCCAGTGCTGCATTGATCCGAAGCCAGGAACCAGGAACTTCCTCCACCTCTCCCACGCGAGTGCAGGGATTAGAACCAGCACCCATGTGGAATCCCGGTGCATTCAAAGCGAGGACTTTAGCTGCTAGGCCACCACACCAGGCCCATTCAATTATATCTTACACATGAGATTCAAACAGATAATGCCCAAAGATGGATCACTACTATAAAATATTACAGTCGAACAAACTCTAGTAAATAGCAAAAATTTACCTTTTCTAAAACACGTAATATTCCTGAAATCAAGCTGTCTTGATCATTGGTCTTTCCACAAGATGAATGAATATACACGCCCTCCTGTTCAAATATAATCTGAAACAATAAAAATAAGATTAGTCATGCTTTTCTTATTCAGTATTGTTACATTTGTTAAAAATACTAAACGATTTTTAAAAATAGTATCAGGTACACTTTCACAATAATTTCATGGGCAAACTTGAGACAGGTTGAGAATTCCTTATCTGAAAGTGTTTAGGACTGCAAGTCTTTCCAATTTTGCCCTTTTTTTCAAACTTTAAAATATTTGCATACACCCTGCTCTTTGATACGGAAGTATTCAAAAGACTATCAATCACTAACATGAAGATACGGCCTTTAGAAAAAACACTAAAAGAATACAAGGAGACTCAAGTTAATCCTTGAGTACTATAAGCATTTAAATTGAAGGTTTTCTTTTATATGCATAATGTCTTAAGTTAAGATCCATTCTTGGAACCTATTTCACACTATTCAAGATTGTTTTTAATTTTTAAAATTAGGAAAAATAAAATAATTACCACCATACATAAGTACTTTTGACATGCTTAAGCTTGGAATCCAGTGTTTCTCCATGTATATAAACCATCTGTTACTATAATTACATTAACTCTTCAAAATAGCATAGGCTAACAATGAAAAACAAGCTCTACCAGAGTTAATCCCTGAGCCCAAGTCTGTAAACATAATAGCACACACTCCTAATTTACCAAACTCATGAAACCTTTATGCACCACTTATACACCCCACACGCAACAACTAAAATCTTACAAAAACCTTAAATCATAGGTTCTCTAACTATAATCTACTACATCATGATGAGGAGGCCAATTGTGTGAATAACAAAACAGAATAACTTGCCCAAGATCAAAAATAAAAATTGTACGGTGTGCTACGGAGATTAAAGCCTAGGAAACCTAACTACACTGCAAACTCCCACGCTACCTTTTACATGTTTGTTACATTATCCAATTTTGGTATGGAGTAAAGTTAGGAAGAATATTTCTTGAAATCAAGATCACCATAAAGTTCTGATTTCAAAGACCTAATGTGGGGCTCAGGGGCAAATGGGTCACTGATTCAACAAGATGGAGACTAACAGTCAAGGTCACTGGGTTAACACTTGGCTAACAAGATAGCAGCCATGGGCAGCGCCCTGGGCATGAACCAGGGCAGGAGTCAAGTCATTTCAAAGAAAGACAGATTGGCCAGGGCCATTTCACTCACCTGCTCCTAGCCTATGGGAGATGGTTTCTGCAACTGCTGATGACAATTGGCTACTAGTTTCTCCCCTCCTGGAATCCCTGGAATCCCTGGAATTCCTGGCCTGAAGCTGTTCGCTACCCTATATAGGAATCTGTATAACAGGCACTGCTTAAACAGAAGCCCTGTCTGTGTCCTGCGCTCCGGGAGGCTGGATGGCAGGCAGCAGGCTCACCCTCTCCGGCAATGAGGTACTACAGGAATCTGTGGGAGAGACCCCCGCAACCTAAAACAACATGGTACCCACGTGCTTGCTCATAAATGGATATATTTTGATTATGTCAGCTAAGAATTCAGAAATTAACTTAAAAATGAATTTCTCTGAAGAGGTTCAGCTCAAGATTCACATCTTAGGCAGAAGACAAAGACAGGACAGAATGAACTGGAGAAGGGTTAGGAAGAAATCCTATACTGTTTGTATGAAAATGAGAAAACTTAGGACATACAGATGTACACATAGGCGCAAAGTTACACAAACCACAAACGAATATTCACAAGAGCATTAAAGGGAAGGTAAAGAAAAGAGTTAAGTGGGGAAAGGAGAGTACAGATCCAGATGTCTACAGCTGGAAAAAGACCAAGAAGATATTGAACAGACACCTGTTTAGAGACACTTACTTACAGACACTACGAGTCAGGAGTTCAGCTGAGGCAGACTAAATGGATGGGCAAATACACAGGCACACACGAAACAGAAATACAAAAAAATCAACACTATGATAACCTTTATAACAAGTTTAGCTTAATGTCTGTGTGAAACTCAGAGAATAAATTCTGGAAGGCCACACTCAAAGCTAAAATGGGTTATTTCTAAGGTATGGAGCAAGGAAGAGTAAAAGAATAAATTTAATCTTTTCTGCTAATGCCTCTTACTGGAAAATATCAGGTGAAAATACATGTTTAAAAATGATTTAAAATATAACATGAAAAGGGGAAATTCTAGAAGTTAAAATGATAAATATTGTAGACTTCAGGAGTTGAACTACATGATTGTCATTTGAGGGCACAGAATGAAGATACAAAAATGCTATTAGAAAAGAAATCCCTCCCCAGTTATCAGCAACTGCGTAGCTTGCCTTGCACCTAAGACAAGTGTTACATTGCTGGGAGAGAAGCAGTCAACAGCTGGCAGGCATTCCGAGCCTGGTTAATGTCAAATTTGTGTCAATTATACCAGTATGCCAGCACGATTGCCTACTATTATTCTTTTTTAAATTTTATTTTATTATTTTATGATACAGTTCCATAGGCTCTGGGATTTTCTCTCCCCTCTCCCCAGCAGGCCCCCCTCCACCCACTGATTTCCCCTGTATCATTACAATAGTGTAATCCTTCATAAAAAGGACTGTAAATCCATCATTCTAATATTTAAGTGTATCCTGACATGGCAGGAATGAACAATGGCAGAGTCCAACATCCTATTGTCAAAATATATTCAACAGTTTCACCAGGAGTCCATCACTGATTTGGAAGTAGAGATGCATACTGCATTGTATCTTCACAACTAGATATGACAGTCTCTATTACGGTCACTACACATCCTCTAAATGAAAAGCCATAAAACAATATTAGCAACAGGAAGAAAAAATGGAAAATTTACAATGACATGAAGTTAAATAACATGCTACTGAATGACCAATGTATTGCTTGAAGAAATGAAAAACCCGGCACCTGCATGCGAGACGCTGAAGAAGCTCCTGGCTCCTGGCTTCAGATCAGCTTAGCTCAAACCATTTTGGCCCCTTGGGGAGTGAACCAGTGGATAGAGGACCTTTCTCTGTATCTCCTTCTCTATGTAAGTCTGACATCCCAATTTAAAAAAATAAATCTTTAAAAAAGAAAAAAAAACTGCTTGAAACAAGCAATGGTACTGTGACCTATGAGCCAACGAAAAAAATTAATGAGAAACACTTCTTTGTCACCATTCCAGTCCCCAGGCTGGAAGGCTGCAGACTGCAGGGAGTCAGTGGGAACAGCTGAGGGTATGTTTGACCAGGGAGGAATGACTAATGGGGTCTTCAGCACAGCAGGTCATTGAATTCACAGGTAATAAAGGGAGCGGAGACAGAATGGTTTAGAAGGGTGAACTGGAGGGCCTGATTCAGGCCAAAGTCCTGCCCACAAGGAAGACCTGAGATGGGCTAAATAGAATTGCCCAACGCCTGCTGGTGCTAGCAAAACGGGGGCTGGGAGCAGGGAAGGGAAAGGGGAGAGTATACCTGACTGGGCTAGGCCACAGTATCCACACGTGAGTGTCAGAGCAGCGGGTGAGCCGCATCTGGCTAGGCAACAGCACCTACCAGAATGTGAGAAAAAGAGATCTAGGGGCAGATTCGGTAGGGGAGTAGTGGGCTCACCTACATGAGACTTCAACACCCTCAGGTTTACATGGAGAATGATAAACCAAGCCAGCCTGGACTACAGTATTCATGTGACAGGAACCCACCTGACAATTTTGAGGGCTGGGAGAAAATCTGATGGGGCCAGGCTGCAGCACCCATTGACAAATGTAAGGGCCAGGACTGAGGTTAGACCATGCCAAGCAGGGCCAATGTCCCCACTGGCAGGAATAAGATCTGGGAACAGGCCTCCTGGTAAAGGATCTTGGAAAACTCCCTTACTAGGCCACAGCTCTCTCTGAGGAGCAGAGGAGCCAGGGCTGGGGGCAGGCTAGGCCAGGCAAGGTTGCAGCACTCATCAGTATTCGTGTGGGTCAGGTCTGGTAACAGGCCAGGCTGGGCCAGGCATTGGCACCCACTCACATGCAGGAGAGCCAGACAGGGTGTAGGCCACAAAGGTTAGGCTGAGGTGCACTGGGCTGCAACACCTACCTACGAGAGCTGATTGTGGGTGGGCCATCCCAGGCTGGGTCCAAGCACTTGCCAGCATGTACAAGACCCAGAACTGGGAAAGGGCCTATAGGGGAACTCAGGACTCCCCTGCGAAGCTGCAGAGTTAAGTCACAGCACTAAGTGGCAGGTGCTGGGACTGGGTGTAAGTCATGTCAGGCTGAACCCCCTGGTAGGCTGGAAGCATGCTTGGCAGCGGAACTGTGGGCACTCTGCTGTTTGACTGTTCCTATTGCTGGTAAGCACAACAGGACTTGGGGTGGTCCAAGCTGGACAAGGCAGTGGCACTTGTCAACATAAGGAGCTGGGTCTGGGGGCAGGTTAGGCTGAGCTAAGCCATATCACCCAGAGGTGTGCATGAGAGCCAGATGGAATGTGGGCTGGGCCAGCCTAGGTTTCAGCAGAAGCCAGCATATGCAAAAAACTGGCTGGAAGCAGGCCCGGTGGGGATTATTGGGAGTCATTTCAACATGGGCATGGTACCCACTGGTATGCTTAAGGACCAGGTCTGTGATGGGCTGACCAAAATGAGCTGCAGCACCTATTGGTTGTGTGAGATATGGGGCTGGGGTAGAACACACCAGGTAGGGGCTGAACACACCAGGCAGGTGCACCCACTGGTGTATGTGCTGGCTGGTGCAGGTGATAAACCAACCTGACCCTGCACTGTCTGGTGCACACAAGATTCAAATACGCGATCACCAAACGTGAGGTTTCTCAAGACCTCCCCAGCTAGAATCCTGGATTCAAACTCCAGCCACAGCGAATATCACAGGATATGTGGTCAGACCTTGGAGTGCATGTATTGGGACAGGGCTTCCTCAGTTGCTGATGCCTGCGTAGTGGACAGCATGTCCACATTCACATGGGAGACATGATAGCCAACTCATCTAAGCCAGCAGGGGACACTGACTACCTTGTCTGAGGACTGGAAAGCAGAACAGG